GGAATGGCTTTGCTCTAAAGCAGCCCTGACAGTAATTCAAGTAAAAGGTGGGAAAGAGAGCTATCGGTAGTAAGATTTCAGAGATAATTCCACAGAAATGTTGGAGAAGGTAAGAGACGGTGTAAGCAACATACCAACTCCAGCCATCCTCCACCCTCCTTACCACTTGATCTGGAGAATAGTTCATGGATTTCTCTGGGTCCATGTGCATGAAATCCACAATGCCAGTGAAGTAACACAGAAATGTCAGTTTCATTCCGAACGGGGTCACCTAGGAAGGGGAAGGAAAAGGTGTCAAAATAAATTTGCACTCAAGTTTTCATGCAGCACAAACAGAGAGCAGTTCACACATTTCAGGAAAAGGCACTGTCAGTGTTGATCAACAAGCACATCATAAGAGACAGGAAAACTGCTAAAAATTCTGCTTTGTACACTGTGTCGCAAAAACAATCCTAAATTTTTTGATAATGCTGTGTGTACCCTGAAAACTACTGCTACGCTGTTGAATACTTTACCTAGGAAAAGGCCAGAGAAGCACAAAAAGGATCCTGTTCTTCTTCAAGCTTCATCACCAGCTTCAGACTGAAGCCTTTATACTTATGGCATCTCTCACACAGAAGAGAGATCAGGCTTCAGGTGATTGTGGTGGAGGGAGTGTCTAGCAGATAATATTGTCTGCTAATGTCAAGAGCCCAAACAGAATTTTTCCAGTCCATAAACTTCTGTCTCTGTTTCACCTGCCTCCTGCCTTCAACAAGGCTCAAAAGAAACCCAAACCAGAGCTTACCTTCTGCACTCGAGCTTTCACCACCAGCCCTGGCAGTAAGTTAGAGAGTGCCCAGTTCTGTTTCTCTGTGGCGAGGGATGCAGCAACCTCTGACCGATCAATGGACAAACGGACCACTCTGCCCTCGTTCTTCACTTCCACGATGACACAGGTCAGGTTCTGGCCTATTTTCAAGTCAGGCCCTACAAAGACAAGTCACAGCATAAAACCTCCACCAGGAACACTCAGGGATTCCCTTCCACTCTTCCCAATGCTTTTTCCAAGTTCCCTCTATTTTAAGAGGTTACAACTCCTCTCACTCTAAGTGAAGTTTACCGCCAGCAAGGACGGATGGGCTTGGAATACTCATGTGGTCTGTCAGAACCCAGACTGAAGCACAAAGGCTTGTTGCAGACCAGCCACAGAACTGCTATTTTCAGCAACCTGCAAATAGTCCACCTTGACCCAATCCCACTAACACTATAGACATAACACACTTTAATTCCTGTCATTCTCCACCTCCATTTCAACCCCAGCAGATCCTCCTGCACTTCTTCTTACCTCTCTTGAGTGCTTTGATGTAATTTTTGGCTTTCTCATGAGGCAGGAAAGCATGAGTCCCACTGACTCCAATATCTATGAGGTAGCCATGGTCTTCCACACTAGATACAGAGCCAGAGAGCAGCTGTTGGGAGGGAAGCACTGCAACTCAGTAGCGTGACAAAACAGCTGAGTCTTCAAAGAACGCATATCTGGTAAGAGATCCCCCCCAAGTACTCACTTGTTTTATATGTACAGAGAACGGAGTTTTCCAGAGCAGCAGAAAGAACACTACATTCTTTCTTACTACACAGCTCATCTGGCAGTGAGGTCTCAGCTCTACCCTTATCCCACTATGCATGTATGAAGCTCACAAACCAGCAGGAAAAAAAATTGTGATGCTCAAAAGTAGCAGGTGATCTAATTGCAGGCACTGCCTACAGTCATACAGGTGCAAACACAAAACCTAAACAACCAAGCACCTCTGCGAGGCACGTTAAATATCACTCTCCGCAAAAATAACAAAGAAACCTACTCAGGAAGAAATCATTAAATAACTTGTGCATATTGAAACAGAATCAGGTGAACGGATTTCATGAGTGACAACCTGAAGACAAGAACCAACACCACCCTCTCCCCTCCAGTTCTCTTCCATGGCGGGAACAGTTCCACATGCTCCTTTGATCCCATGCGAGCAAAAACTGAAATGTTCTCCACACACTGTGCAAGAGCCCAGAGGGGCTGTGACAGACCCAGAAAACATACCATGCCTGTTGCTAGTGCTGAGGCACTCAGGCCCTTATTGACCTTCTTGGGGTCAATTGATAATTTGATGCTGCGACGTCCATCGTCACTTTTCTCAACACTGGTCACGATGCACCTGACCAGTGTCCCTGGAGAGTACATGTCCGAGAGCGAATTCAAGCCCTGCCCAGAAAGATGATCAAGAGAGAAACATGCAAATTTTACAATATCAAATAATACAAGAAGGTCAAAATTTGTTACTGAAGTAGCTTTTGAAAACAAAATCCCATAGGAAAGTCCTGTTTCTCTGTCAACGCTACAATAAAAAGCAGGGAATGCCACACACGGCAGAATCTCAACAGAGGGGCAGGGATGACACTGTGTTATGTCAGCAAGTCTGATAGGCTTTGCTTAGAAATGAACATCTGAGGAAACATCTCCAGAGCTTACAGTGACACTACTCTCATCTCCCTCTTTAGCAGAGAAAAACACCACCACCAAAGGGGTAGTGCAGATCCCGTAGCCACAACCACCCTGGGAAAACTTATGGACCGCCGACGCCAGAGACAGGATAACAGATTACTCCACCCTCTTTCTTTCTAGCAATCAGCTATTATCAGGATAATTGCAAAGTTTGCTTGGAAAAGCAGGTTCCAAAGCAAGGTCAGTCTATGTTAGCACCACGCAGCAGCACACGGCATGTGCCAACACACAACTAAACTGCAAGGACCATGTTCCTCCTCGGGGCCCTGAGAAATTCTTCCACCCTCACATCATTTTCCAGTCGCCTCCCTAACTTCTTCCCATTGTTGCCTACAGCCAGGGGATGAATATTTAGCCTCAGCAGCACAGAAATAACAAAAAATCTCTTTCTGTTCAACAGGCTGTTTACAAAGCTCAAGGATTATTTAGCCAAGTCTGAGGGCTGCAGGTGAACAATATCAAGTCACCTGTGAGACCGGTGACCAGACATCAGGCTCCTGAGAAGGACCTCAGGGTTGGTTCTGAGGTATTGTTAACATTCCTTGGCTTCAGGCACAAATCACAGTCCCAGCCCAAGGTCTCACCTCCGGCAGTTCTCCCTGGGCCACCTGCTGACTCAGCAGTTTGCTGTAGGCGTCGCTGATCTGCGTGATCGGCACAAATCCCGAAAGGCCACTGGGCAAACTGATGACCAGCTCGTAGTCACGGACCTCCTTTATGCACCCAAGGAGCAGCATCTCCTCACAGAGTGCCTGGGAAAGCAGGAAGAATAGCACACTATGAGCATCTGGGCAAGTCAGTGATAACAGGATGATAAACACGGCTTTGTACTGAATCACTGACACATTTTACAGGTTTAGGGGAGGAAGAAAATGCCATTTTTATGCAGTCCAGGAAAGAGATGCACACAAATTCAAACATTTATGCACCAACCTGAATTGTGAGTGGTCCAATATTCACAACATTGTCTTTAGCAGTGGCTGTTTTGTCTGCCTTGAACTTTTTCTGCTTTCCTTGATCCTTTTGGCTCCTTTTTCTTTTCTGGGATTTTTCTTCATGGTGAACCTAGCAGTTTATAAGCAGAGAGGGAAAAAATAAAAGCAGATAAAGAGACAAACTTTGCACTAAGGCAGAACTCTGCTGCCATGAATAAAACCAGAAGAAAATGCTAGGACTAGAGTTAAAAAGAGAACTGTCTTGTCTGTCTGCAAGTCTTAAAAGTACCTTCTTTGGACTGAGGTTGATTATTTATAAAACCCTGAATCTTGGGAATGGAAACAAATGATCTGTACTACACTAACACTCTACTAACAGAAGGAGAAAGACCAAATTTAGCCTATATCCAGTGACATCACCCTCACTACACAGCACTTTGTGATGAGATGCTTGTGGAAAATTTAAAAGCTAAAGCCTGACGGACAATTTTGACCAAAATTTCTCCGTCATCACATTCAACACCCATCAGACATTAGGGATCTTTAAGAGATCAGGAGAAAGGTGAATGTCAGTAGTCATCTCTTCCTGGGAGTGCCTTCTATAGTTTACTGTAGAAGTAACAGGCAGGATGGATTGCAGGTCAAATTCTGGCAGCGGAAGAGCTCTGAGAAGTTAATCAAGAACGTGCAAACAACGTACATCAAACAAATTGTCCCGCTCTAACTCTGGCTTGGATGGTTTTCCCTCTGCAGGTTTTTTCTGGATACCCCCTCGAGGAAAGTTTTCTTCCAAAGACGCCATGCTTGTCCTGCTATGGGACAAATGACATAAGCAGAGGTGAAATGTGCAGCTGTTACGCTTGTTCCTCACAAACACTGAAGAGACATAAGAGTGCAGTACCCCCAGGCAAAGGAAGATTCTGGATGTATGTATACACAGCTGTACACTTAATGCACGTGTAATCTCACTGTTTCAATCTCTAAACAACACCTTATTTACCAGGTCACAATGAACATGTTACTACTAATAATAAACAAAAGTAACTATCACTAGTAGCAGATATTATTATTTATTACTATAAATAATATTAACGTTATTACTTATTATGCTTGTACTATTACTTATATTATACTATTATTTATACGACTATTAATAGCCAACAGTAATTCTACAGAAATCAGCGCCGGAACACTATACGCTGCCTGTCAGACACACAAACCCCTGCAAACGTGAAAACACCTCACAAAACTACAGTTCATCACGGCACGCTTCACCTCAGGGCTCGCCAATCAACACAGGCAGCTCCTCGCGGCCGGCAGCAGAGCCCCGCCGGAGCGGGCAGGGCTGACGCTCTGCCCTGTCCCGGGCGGCTCCCGTGGGAATGCCGGGCGGCTCCCGTGGGAATGCCGGGCGGGAGGAGCGGGATCGGCGCCGGGAGCGGGAGGCGCACGCGGAGAGCCGGGCGGAAGCGGCGCGCGGGACGAAGGGCAAAGGTCGGGCGGAAGTGACATCCTGTCCCTCAGGCAAAAAGGGGCGGTGACGACCCGCCCTCCACGCGGGCTGCAGCCAATCGGCGTGGGGCGGGGTGGCTGCGCGCGCCGCTCGGCGGCCGCCATCTTGTGGTAGGGCAGAGGCGAAGGGCAGAGCGCGGCACCGGCTGAGGCTGAGGTACTGCGGGGCGGCGGCGCTGCGGGGCGGCGGGGCAGGGGCCGGTCCGGTTCCGTCCCGCGGGGCGGGAGGGCGGCTCTGCGCGGCGCCGGGCCGCGGCTGTGCTCCGGGGCACCCGCGACCTTCGGCGTCGCTGCCCCTCCCTCCGCGTCCCTTCCCGGCCCGAGGCGAGCGCTGGGCCGCGGGTGTCGGAGCAGCCGGCGGGGCCGGACCCCCTCACCGGGGTCCGGGTTGAGGGCAGCAGGGCGAGGGCACCCGGCTCCTCCGGGAAGTAGGGCCCGTGTGGTGCCTTCTCCCCCTCGGAAGGGCGCAGCGGCGCCTTTTCCAGGCTTTTACATCGGTCAGGCACGAGAAAGGATGACCTTGGCTCTCCGAAGTCTTTCCAAGTCGTTTGCGGCAAACGTTTAGGGGACTGTTTTATTAAGATTTTTAACTAAGGTATAGTCAGTCCAGTTACCCTTACCTGGTTATCCGCCAGAAATAACACTGCTGGATTGTGTTAAATAAGAGGTAGATAATACATAAGGGCTGTTTTGGTGACTACAAAATCGGCTGTGCAGTTTCTTGTATCTTCCCCGGGGGTACCGGTGTCTGCAGCATCTGCCGGGTTTGGTGGGTAACTCGGGAGTGAGTCGGGAAATAAACAGCAAATGTTTGTCCTAAACATAAAATCCTCTTAAGAAAAATGTATCTCTAAGCATTCAAAAACCCCACCCTGCTCTTATTGTACGGGTGACCAAACACTGGAACAGGTTTCCCAGAGCAGTTGTGGAGTCTCCATCTCTGAAGATGCGACAAACCTGACTGTATGTGTTCCTGGGTTCCTGTGTAAGCATTTCCGAGGCTTTGTAGCTGGCTTAAGTAATTTTCTGATCTGAACAGTAACTGGGGGAAAAAAAAGTGGGTTTATACTGGGGTGGACAAGTAAGATGCAATAGAAGTGCGCAACTGAGAGCAGAGCAGTTCTGGTTAGCAACCCTTGCACTCTATTTTGGTGTAAAAGTTGCAAAGTGGCATTTTGAATCACGAAACAGAATAGTGGTCTACCCTGAATCTTGTCATCAAGTTTTTGAGTATGTAATTGAAGCTGTTTCTTAGCTGAGCTAGTGAAGACTGATCTTAGTTGAGTGTTGCAGATTTCAGAAGTCGGCAGAAATTTGCCTGAGTTCAGTGGTTGTAGGCAGGACTGGCAAGTCTCTTCTTTATAAGTGCTTTGAAGAATTTACTCTTTTATAATCATCATCCTGACTTTTTTTTTCATGTTTAAACTTGGTTGAATGAAGTCTGAAAATCATTAATGTTCTTCCCTTCAGAACCCCTCATTTGCTTATCTGCTCGTGTCAGCTGTTTTGTACCTCAAGATACAGTACTCTGGATGTGCCTGCTCCTTTATGTGTGTTCACTGCTCACTGAATGCCCTGAAAGCAGGTTTAGTAGCTGACAATGGAATGGTGAAGCTTGGTGTAGAGATGGATTTGATTTTCCTATCTGTCCTGTCCAACTGACTTTAAATTAATTGACTGTTCTGTGTTGCTTGTTAGGACAAGCAGCCATGGCTGGCCATGACTCGGGATCTCAACACCAGTTCACCGGATTTCAGAAGTACTTTAATTCCTATACCATCATAGGCAGGAGGAATGTATGTATATGTACATGAAGTTTTGTAGTCTAGTACAGTGGTGTTTTCTGGGCTTTAGACTGAAACTAAATTTAACTTGATGTTTTCCAGTATGTAATAGCAACGTACACAGCTGTTGCACTCATCGCCCTGTATTTCAAGTTTAGGCCTAAGAAGCAAACTCCTGCTGTGGCAGATAAGTAAATGGTAAGTGGCTGATGTTCTTCCAGGACCAAAATGCTTCAATGCCAACTCAGGAAGGAGTGGTGAAGGACAAGTTGCCAATAAGACAGTGCAGTGAGAGAGAGATAAACATAAGCATGTGAATTTCATATTTATAATTTTAAACCTCAAATAAACTATAGCATCGACTTATTTGAGGGCATTCTGGATGAAGTGAGCTAATAAAGGGAGTGAAAAAGTATGGCATCAGTATGCATCTTGTTCTTCTGACATGGTAAATGGGACTGGGGCGGGACACAGGGAGGAAGAGAAAGCAAGGAAGGAGGACTGGAAGGATGTTGCAGTGAGGTACATCGAGGTCTGCCTGTGACTATTAGGTGCCTCTGGTCTGTGCTTTTGCTGTAAAATAGGGATAACTTGCTTTGTAGGTTATTGAAATAATAAAATAGTACTTGAGGACTTCTTGGTTGTATTAGAATTCCAAATAGAGATTAATGTATTCTGTTAAAACCTTCCTTCGAACCAAGTAAAGGAGCACTGTATGATGTATGTATTCAAGGCCCATGCAGAAGTGGCTGGGCTTCTATAGCAACAACCCAGTGTTAGAGAATTTTGGACTCACTTTCAAATACAGGATTTTCATGACAAAATGCAAGCTATGGGCTGTCCTCATAGCCTGCAAAAAGGGGTATAACACAATAAGCTTGAGCATTGTTGTGTGTTAAGGGGACATCAGTCACTTCTTCCTGAGTGTGCTGAAACCTGTTTGCTCGTAACTAAAATTGTTCAGGCTTGGGGCAGGGGGATTCTCAGTTACCACCGTGCAAGACTTGCTATGTTTGATCTCTGTTCTCTTGGCAGGTTGCTGGCATGTCTGAACCTTGTCTGAACCTCCGATCTGTGTCAATGTAACGCAAGCTGATGGCCTGTTGTGCTAATAAAATATAAATAATTACTTGTTTTATTGGAAATATGAAATGGTGCAAAAAAGCTCATGTGTGGCACTTCTCCTTTTTTTCTTCTGTCAAAAATAATTATTTGTAGAGGAGATGGAGCAGCTGATCCCCATCATTACTATTTAGGATGTGTTTCAACAGCAGCAAAGTTAAAGTGTTCTGAGCTCCCAGCACTAACATAGGAAGTGTTCAAGGGCTTTTTTTTTTTCCTTAAAGGCATTTGTACGTGCTGGCCCTGCGGAACAAATAGAAGTTATTTTCCTCTCCTATGAGCATGTTTGCTGCACAGATGGCTTCGGCTGTATTCCGTTTTCAGGCTGAATAATGGTGGTTGTACAGTGTAATAAAGTAGCTAGAACCTGTCACCCACCTTTAGAACAAGATTTACATGAAATGGCTACTCATCAACTTAACTATTTCTGATTACTTTGTTTCTCTTAGCAGAGTGCTCACAGTTACAGGCACCGCTCTTGCCTCCCCTTGCAGCCATCAAGGGAAGAAAGTATCTTCTTGTAACATATAGGCACAAACTATGTGGATTTAGTATTTATTATAATATCAAAAGTATAAAACTGTACAAAATACAAAGGCAGAATGTGGCAGTGTTTTCTTTAAGCTGTCAAAAAATTGTACTTAAATCTATCTGGTCATACTGAGAGCTAGGACATTTTGAGGTACCATTACACAAATAAAAAAATTCATAATTTAGTTTTAACCTTTTTTCTTTAAAGGAAATTTCTAGGTGAGCTTTCTAGTGACTTTTCCACACTTTATTTTGATGCATAATGCCTGCAGAATAACTTTACTCCAAGAGTTAGAGCCAGACAAGAGATGAGAGGGGAGGTAGTTCTCCATTTACTCGGCCTTAGAAATGACACATCTTGTTTTTATTTTCACTAGAGAGCCAGCAGAGTGTTTAAGTGCTCAAGCCCTTCCTGGGAAGTGATAAGGAACACAACAGATTTCCCTGCATACATCTTGTAAGAGACTGAAAATGGAACAAACCCACACCACACTGGGCCTGGCCTTTAGTGATGACAGTTTCTGTCTGAAATCAGACCTTAGTCTCAATGTTCTGCATGTTTCACTCTTCTTTTAGAAATAAAGAAATAAACCACTGATCTTTACTGGTTGCTCAGGAGGACTCACTGTGGTACAATGCTTTTGTGGGTGGAAACCATCACTTCAGCAGACAAGCTGCCCTTTCAAAAGCAAACTGATCATACACTTATCCTTTCACTCTGCTATACTCCTTCAATTTCTTAGCTTTCTTACATTTTTTATGTTAAAGCTTATGCAGAAAGGACACAGGTTTTTTAAGTTCTTTTAGATCTAATACAAAGTAAAGGGTTTAAATCCACTTTTTTAACAGTGGGTATTTCAGTTGTGCCTCAGTCCCCTTTTTATCTTCTCGTTCAATAAAGCATGAAAGTAAAGTTCACATTGCGCTTCTGGTTGCTTGTCACACTGACAGTACTGGCTACCTGTGAAAAACAGAGTAACAAGATCTGTGTTTCTGACACCTCAAAAGAGCATAGAGTTTGAAATCTTTTCAGGACTTACTACTTGGCTGATAAAACCCGTGCCCGGTGCTTCACGGCAGTGCCACGACCACAAGCATCGGAGTGTCGGAGCGGCTCCGTCAATGCCCTGGTTGTTGCTGTGATCTTCTCACCACACCTGCTGCCCAGCACAGGATACAGTGAATCAAACTACATTCTTCTTTCCTGAAACTGGACAGTTTTTGCTTGTGTTTGAGACTGATGAAACCTTTGCTAACCATAAATTAAGTGCTTTAAAAAAAATCATCAAGGCTGTTAACTTCTCACAAGTTTCAGCAGAGCTCAGTGCCATCTCTGAGAGGAGACGGCTCATTTCATATATACATATATGTGTATCAAAAGCACCACGAACAGTTCCTTCTTTTACAGCCACGATGTCTTGTCAATCCCCAGCATTTTCAAACTGCAGATAACTACGAAACAGCAGAACTGAGAAGTGCTGCCTGCATTAATTTACACAGTTTCACCTTCCCTGCAACAGACTCGTGGGGATCCTTGTGTACAAGACATTTCTCGTTGTCTCACATCATGAGGTCAGTACTGCAATGCCTTGGCACAGGCAGTCTCAGCTTCCCAATTTACTGTGAACTGTAGGCTCCCGCAGCCAGCAGCAGGTTCCTGCGTGTGAAATGGAGATGAACAACCGGGGTTGATTTGGTCATGTATGTACCCAGTAACAAGTCCTGTGAGTTTTCAGGCAAGTTTATGTGTCCAGTGGCTGTAGTAAAGTCATCAGTTTCTAAATCTTCAAACGCCTTCACAGCATCCCACAGACGAACTGTGTTATCCATTGAACCTAAAAAGAAAACCACAACAGTTTATTTTATTAATAAAATCATATATAAAAAAAGTTGCTGGGGAGCATATCAACAGAAGTAAAAGCTCAAAGCACAAGACTATAGCAAGGATCTAACATAATGCATACACACATAAAAGTTGCCAGGATTTCAGCTTTCTTGTAGTCTAACCTGGATGCCCTGTAGACAAGGCAAAAAGAACTGCTCTCAAAACACCCGGGTTTGGATCATATCACCTACCACTGAAAAAGCAGGACCATCCTGTGGGCTGTCAACTGCAGGTAAAGTTTATGACTTTAAGTCACATAATAAGGGGTTTTTGTATGGTATAGGGAATAGAGTGGAATTTTGCAAGCTCAGCAGCCTGTGCTTTCACCAGAGGGCAGATAAATTGGAATAACCACTAAGCAGGCTGGATCAAACCTGTACCCTATCTGTTAGCTTTCACTCCTGCAGCAGTAGCTCCCAGAGGATTCTCACTGCACTGCAGTGTTCTAAGGGAACATATTACTATACAAATCTCAAATATTCCTAGTCTGGTTTCATGAGGAAATTACCCTCATGTAATTAGTGACTGTCCATTATTTCTTCAACTTCTTGGCTAATTTCAAGCAGTTGACAAAACAGAGTAAGTTTCAAATTAATGAAATAACTACATATTTTAAGAAAACAGTTCATTGAATATAAAGAGACAAAACTTCGTGCCTCCATGAAGGGAAAACTGGTAAAGGAGCTCTGGTATATTAGACACCTGAGAACCCATGTGGACAGGAAGGAAAAACGAGCAGGCTTCACAAGTTCTGCTGCTCACAGACCTGTTCATTAATATTATATGCCCATATCTCTGTAGATACTCTACCATGAAGAAATAGTAAGGGTGTGGATAACTCATATTCCTTTCTATCCCTTCCTCTTTCTTTAGTCTTTCTGCATTCCCAGTCCCATTCCAGTATCCTGCACCTCTCCGGTCCATCCACTTTTTGTCTGCCCTAGGGTTATTGCTTCTGATTCCATCCCCAACACTGTACAGATTCACAACCTTCACTATCATCTAAGTGCATGACACCTTTCCTTCAGATCCTGGAAGAACGAGAGGTCACACTTCAGTGAAGTGCTCGCCTTTGTACCAGCAGTTTTCAGTTGCTGCTTTTGCAAAGCAAGTAATTATTTGTCTTCCTCTATTTAAGGAATCAATTATATCATTCCTGTTCAGACTTACGGAATACGATGGAAACTTCACTGTTTCTTGTGAATTTTACCTGATGCTAAAATCTCCCCATCTCTGCTGAATCTGAGCGCGTAGATAGTGTCAGTGTGCCCTTTCAATTCGCCAACCATCAAGCCATGTCCAATATCCCATAGCAGAACTCTTCCATCCGTTGCTCCAGTAGCCAGGAATCTTCCATTAGGAGAAAATGCCAATGAATGAATTGGTCCCTAAAACAGACATTGAGGGGTGATCAAACAAGTGAATTAAATCTACTCACATTCAGTCAGTCACGCTGTGTTTGTTTGAAACAGCACTGTTTATAATCTCATCAGAGAAATGAAATCTCTTTTACACTGAATGATATGGCTTTACCTTATGTCCAGTGAATATTCTTACACAATTCCCATTCAAAACATCCCAGAGCCGTATAGTCCTGTCGGCTGAGCCTGTGGCAATATAGTTGGAATTTGGATGAAATCGCGTACACGTGACATCAGCAAGATGGCCAGCAAATATCCGTAGTGGCTGGTAGTGATCTGTTGCCCACAGACTGAAAAGAAAAGCTTTATTAATAAAAAGAACTCTAAAGGAGTTCAGTACCTGTACCTGTGGGAGCGGCTGCAGAGGAAGCCACAGACATGCTCAGAGGGCTGAAGAACCCTCTTCTACGAGGAAAGGCTGAGAGAGTTGGGGCTGTTCAGCCTGGAGCAGAGCTGTCCCTGCTGAGACCCTATTGTGGCCTTTCAATACTTGTAAGAAAGATGAGGACAGACTTTTTATCAGGGGCTATTGCAAAAGGACAAGGGATAACAGTTTTAAACTAAAGGAGGGTAATTTTAGACCAAAGGAAGAAATTTTTATAAATTTCTTTTTATGGTGGTGAAACACTGGCACAGGCTGCGTAGAGATGTGGTGGATGCCCCATCCCTGGAACATTCAAGGTCAGGTTGGACAGGGCTCTGAGCAACCTGATCTAGTTGAAGATGTCCCTGCTCATTACAGGGGAGTTGGACTAGGTGACTTTAAAGGTCCCTTCCAACCCAAACTATTCCATGATTCTACGACCAGTAGCTCAATTAGAAATATAAGTAATTATGGAGCGATTTCGTACAGGTCAGTTTATTAAATTAGCAGGAGCTTTTTTTGAAGAATATACCTCTCAGAAGAGAGAAATAAAGAATATTCTATCAAGCTGGTAAACAACTGGAAGAGAATACTTCTAATCAGAGGGGTCACATAAGAGGACATCATCTCTTAAGCCATCAGATAACACGTGTGTTGAAAAAAACAGTAAAACTACATTAAAACATTAATTGGCATGAAATAAAATTCATTTTCAGTAATAGGGTAGACTAGAGTATATCAGCTGATCACTTACAGGGTTAATCCACCACAAATTAACCCAGACAAATAAAAAACACATCCAGTTTCTTACCGAGCCACTCTGTCGTGTCCCCCTGACACAAAGTAATAACCATAAGGAGAGAACTGTGTATCCCACACTGGATAGTTGTGTCCTTTATATCCCACTAAACATGTGAATGTTTGGAGACTCCACAATCTGACAGTGCCATCCTCAGAACAGGACAACAGATAGTTCCTGTCACAGGAGAAAGTATAGTGTATTATATCAAACTCACACAGGGGCTGTGTAGCCATTGCATAAACGCTGCAAGATGTCCATGATAAAACTGTCCCCTGAGCAGCACCTGTTTAGCATGTCACACATAAATCAGCATTTCGGTGGGGTAAGCAACAAGAACCAATTCAAGCAGAATCCAGTCCTAGGCCCTTATGCAAAAGAGAAGACTGGACACTGATGATTAATTCTGTACTGAGGGGAGAGCGAAAAAAACCCCACACCACAGAGTTATATGAAAAAATTACTAGTACACTGCTGTGCTATGTTACTTTAAAGAAATCTTTTAGTGTAACAACATTTCAGGAATGTTCATAATGTAACTCTGAAAATTTCAGGATTCCTTGAAATAGAAATCATATCATGTTCACATTGTCAATTAATAATTATAGACTATGAATACGTAATCTATAATGTTCCATACAAAGTTCACTTATCAGCTGTGTTTCTGTGATGGTTGTTTCCTGACTAGACACAAGCAAAAGCAAAACTTGAGATATTTAAACCTTCTTTCTACTGTCCAGACTCCCATAACTATGTAATGGGTTTAAATCTCTTATTTTAAAAGATACTGTTCAATACATTTTGAAAATGTCTCAATAGATTATGACAAACTTGAAGTGTAATGACGTGCTACTGATTCTGGTTTTATGTTTTGCAATACTGTAAGTTAAATCAACGCTGCACTATTTTTCCTCTATCTCACTTAGTTAAAATCCAGCTTAAACTACAGTTTGCAAAGTAGATGGTCTATTTTGCCATTGAAGAACATCCAAAATAGTGCTGGTATTCTCAGCTCCATTTGATTTCAGTAATAGTTGACAGTGCTCAACACCCTGAACGTTATGAGCACTTACATAGTTTCTTATAAGCTACATGAACAAGGATTGCTTTAACCTGGAAAAAGCTTCATTAAGAGTAGGTTTTCTATCATTAGCATGCAATTAAAACTGAAGACAAGCAAACTAGTTAGCTTTTACCTATCAGGACTGAAGCTGGTGCCATAGACAGGTCCACTGTGACCATATAAAATCTTCAACTCACTTGCTGTTTTCTCATCCATGATCCTCTCCAAGACATCGTCCGATTCTTTGTCGATAAGACTGAGGTCTGCAAGATTTCAAAGTTCAAACTGTCAGAAGTTCAAAAGTAAATGTCATCATGACATCATCTCAGTTAAATATCAAGATTAAGAAGTGTTTGCATGGTGTCCAGCTTCCACCACAACACATTATTACACAAATAGCAGAATTAAAGAAGCCTGGTTTCCATGAATTTGTGTAGGTGTTGAGCTATAGGACCTTCTCCTCGATCCTTCTCAGTTTCCTCCTATCATGTCCCCCAGGGTACCTCTGGTCTCTCCCCTAGATCACCTAAATCCAACTGTCTACTACACCCAGTAGTTGCCATCCAGTTAAGAAGCAAGATGGCTAGTTCCACACTGGTTATGGCCAGTTCCATACCAGCTATGGCTACTTCCAAGCTTTCTGCACTGACCACCTCACAGCAGGTGTACATGACTGGATTTCTCATTCCTTTAAAATGTTTCTAATGGTAGTACATAAGATGTAATCATACATCTGTGCACATTTTTTTCTCTGAAGTGAAGCATCTAACCACTGAAGACAACTCCCCTGCCACAGATATCCTTCCCTCTTGAGGCAGAACACAGCTGTCACAAGTCATGCATGCTCATATTAAGCATTACTGTCTTAATTACCTGCTGCTGTTTTCACACTACGAAGCTTTTTTGGAGTCACAGACCACACTCTGACAGTAGAGTCAGCAAAGCCTCCTACAATCATGCTGGAGTCATCTGTAATATCCACTGCAGTCAGACCCTAGACACAAAATACCCATTTATATTGATTGTGTCTGTCACGATGCATTTCAAGTACTACAAAATCCTAAGAACTAATAAAAAGGTAATTCAACTTATTTACAAAAATAGATGGAGTTATTCTGGGATAAACATAAACACATGTGAATTCTTGCCCTATTAAAAATAAAGCTCTATGTATGAAGCAGAGTCGATAGTGACAAATAGTAACTGCCTTCCAGTATTCTGGTGCCAAACACCTACTGCATTCTGTAGGGTACACTTAAGGCCCCACAGGAAAAGTGAAAGAAGGGATTATGGCAAATCCAAGCAAAACCAAGGACCATGGAAATTTTATAGCTTAAGGAGTCTTTAAAGAGAATTTTGAACATTTTGGAACGTAAACTTTGCAATGCCTATTCCAAACACTCCAATAACCCTTGCCGACACTGTTATGTCTTCTTTCTTTATTAAGAGTAATGTTCATAATTTCGATTCCTTTTTCCATATTATCCAAACTCTTCTTTCACCAACCTGGTAAGCATTAAGGAATGTGTAGAAACAGATGGAGGGCAGGCACTCTGGGCCAAGACGCACACGCCTTGCAGCTTCCTTCATATTCATTACTTTATCCAGCTTGTCAGAGTCTTTCAGTTCAGGCAGAGGAATTCTACACAAGAAACACATGTTTTTGCCAAGTAAAAGCACCTTCCTTACTGTAAATCCAAACAATTAATGTGAAGCCTTCCCGTGCAACCCTATACCTCAATATTCAAATAAGAAAGAAGAATTAGAAAAAATGAAAGGTTATGTAGAAGACTAACTGATGAGAGAGCAAGCCAGTAGCTTCAAGAATTTCAGACAGGCAGAGGAACAACATAATAAATAAATTGAATATGACCTGAAAAGATTAGTGGGTAACTAAGTAAAACTTTATCAATGGAAATCTAGATTGACTTGAAGGGCAATGGCAGATGGTTATATGCTAAGGTTTCCATTACCTGCCTTAGATGTCTTAGGGCTAAAGCTGTGTTCAGCTGCAATAGCCAAATGCTAAACATGCCATGTGAACAGCGATGCAGATTTGGCACGACAAGACTGGATTTTAAAGACTTCCCTACGCATCGTTCCCTTGGTACCTGTTTTGGGGAGGAGCATTAGGGTCCTGCTTTTTACTTTTTGACCCTACATTATCTTTTTTAGGTTTTTTCTTCTTTGGCTTTCCTTCCTCATTTTCTCCTTCTTCATCTTCATCATCCAAAGGCACGTCAAACTCTGGTTCTTTCAATAAGCCAAAGAAAACCTACAAGCCAATAAAATACACAAGACAAAACAGTAATTGCTGTTCTCACCAAAAGCTAATTCTTTAATGGCAACTTTTCAGCGTAAAAGATCAAGCAATAGAGCTGCTCCTTTAAAACTACTGTTTAATATTACTGCATATGTTACTGCTCAGCCCATAACAAATGTAGTACATGTTCTTCTGGTTTACCCAGCAACTGATCTAGACAACTGTAAGTTCTTCCACCATCTCTTAGCTCTTCCTTAAAGTAGAATCCCTACACCTTACCTAATTTATTTGTATAGTACTGTGGTATTACACAAACAGCCCTTGCAGTAACAACCAGTGGCAAGTAAAAATTACATCTGTTGTACAAAAGAGGAAGCCAAATAGTCAGGTGTCCATTTTAAAACTCCAGAGCAATTCATGAATTGGTCTGTCAGTGGGCTGGACACAAGGTTCTCTCTCAAAAGGTTCAGCAGCTTCTTCCACCAAACAGTGACATACCTTGATCTCTCTACTCATGTCAACAACTGTTTGTACAGTTCACTTCCTTTGTTCTGATCATGCTGTCTTTTAAGATCTCAAGTTACAATTGTCAGCCTATACTATGGAATCTCCCTTAAAAACTAGGGAGACTTGTTTAATCATAGAAGTGCAAAAATCTTTGCCTCCTACCTTTGCTTTATTAGCCTCTCGTTTTGCCTCCCCAGCCAAGCTTCCAACCATAGCATCTATCTGTTGTTTGCTGCGAGGCATTCCATCAAAGATATCAATGTAAAGATGCTCCTGAACAATGTTCCAGATCTGATTGTTCTGCTTTTCCTGCAGATGCCTCTTCAAGAGCTGGTAAGAGTCACGGGAAATACGCAGCACAAACTTGCTTGTTCGGAAATCCAGCATGGTCTCGTTACCTTTCATGTGCTCTTTTTTGGTTAAGCTGGAGAGTACACGCAGGTCATCCTGGTAATAGCACTCCTGATCCCCATGAAACCTATCGAAACAATTTAACAAAGGTTTATTATGAAAACATTATCTCCTAAGGGCACACTTATGTACCTTGCTTGAATATGAAACATATATGTAAGGACCGTTTGGAAGCTACTGACTACATATGGGATTATTTTTTAATGAAATTAAATTTGTCCAGGTGAAGATACACCGGTGATTTACTGTGCACAGTAAGAGCATTCAGCAGTTGAAAAACAAGATGAAGAGAATACACAAATGAAGCCTCTCAGGACTTCATACACCCAAAGGGTTCTCGCCTGAAGTAAATAGTTATGCTAAATGTTTATTTCCAGAAATTAAACCCTAATTTGTGGTACAGGGCATTTTTTATTACACAAGACTACCTGGATGCATTTATGTCTGATTCATTATAGGACATACATTTCACAGTCTACGTGTTTCTCACTCTCCACTTGCATTATCTAATATCTAACATATCTTTAGAGTTTTCATTTTTACTCAACTTGTTATAAAATAGTTGTGACAAGGGGCATTTTAGCTATCTACCATTACAGAACCATTTTTGCTGACCATTTGGAGGGAGACAAAGTTATCCTTTTGGACTGGAGTATTTCATAACTGGTCTGAATCCAGAAAACAAGTTAAATTTAATTTTCTTTTCAATTAATAAACAAATGAAACATAGCAAGAGCACAGACAATTATAGATTAGCCATCAATTAACTTCTTTAACCTCATTTGAAGAATTTAAATTTACATGCTCTGATATTAGCAAATACTTGGAGTGTACATTACTTTGGCATCTCAGTGCAATTTTCAAGTGCTAAAAAATTACCCCACAATCTTTCCCTAAAGATGCAACATCTCTTCATTGATACTTTTGCAGCAAGGAGCCCATCAGCACACCATAAACATGGTTCAAAATCTGCCAGTGAACAGTTCAAAAGCATGTAGTGTGCACATCTTTCAACAGGAGACGGGAATTTAAGAAGTTATTGCAATCCAAGGCACCATTACTTCAGATTTCAAATCTCTTCAACTTTAAATAAGAAAAATAATATGTACATCTGTATATGGATACAAACCTATGCTACTGTAGCTCACAGGTTTAACCAAAGCAGCGAACACAAAATGACACAAATGCACAAACGAAAATTAATTACCTTTCAAAAAAAGACTTTGCCTCACTCTCGTGTTGATTGTACACCAATTCCAAGTACATGTGCACAAAGAGAGGGTAAAACAGCTGAGACAACTCTGCTCGGTGACAGTCCAGGGAACACTCGATGAAGTGTTTCAACCCGCTGTAGTACTCCTCGTACAGCGTCGGGTCCCCTTGCTGGTTGTAGGCCGACAGCACCGCGCTCACGTCCGGCTGATCCTCCACAACCACGGCACCTCCAACTGCAAAACCATCAGCAAACAACAAGAGCTTGTCAGCCTGGAAGAGCCGGTGAGCAAACAGTGGCCCCAGCCCACTGGTCAGGTGAGGCAACAGGGAAAACACACCGTGTGACTGCTCAGCACCACATCTAAACCACACAGGTGAGAGGGTGGTGGGACCTTACAGTCCAGCAGCCAATTTTCCCAGCACCTCCAGCAGCTTCTGGGGCTTTCCCTGCCAACAGCTGCCTGTAAGGTATCTAACCCAGTGCCTCATTCAGCCGGTATTATACATGTAAAGGAAGAAGCCACTAACATCACCAGAGTAAGTTATCTTTACTGCTAGAGCTAGAAACTCTCAAATGAGAAGCAGAATCGTAAGACATACCCACGATAATTATTTTGCATCCAGTAAAAAAGCAACTTAAGTTCATTAAGTGAACAATTCACTACGAGCACCTCGCAACTGTCACAGAATAGGGACACTTTTAACACTCTGACAGCTCTGTTCTCCACAGCAGTCGTTACAGACTTTAATTGTCTTGTCTTTTACATAAAAACAATCTTATCAGGTGATGGCAGGAACAAGCTGAGTTTATGCTGTACATTTACTGGAACTCAGACTATCAGTTCCCAACATTTCATTATACTATTCTGTAAAGCTGCCTCACGGAACACCTTGATTAACAATACTTAGAAATTAATTACTCAAAGGACATCTCAGGTACGCAGCAACTCGATCAAGAAACGCAGAAAGCCTCATCTACAAGCACCTTATGTTTCCATCAAAATGCAGCCTGCATATCAGACCTCCGTTCTCATCCCTGCTAACTACAATGGAAACCGCGAGTCTCCTGCTACTCTGTTAGTCGAGATGGGACACAAAGACGACGGGAAGCACCTCTCACTTCGACAGTGCTCCCTTCAAACACGACGGGCACCCTATCCTTGGTCCCTTGATCCAGGAGATCCGGACTTCTCCACGGATTGCATGGATAGTGACACACACACGGACCGCCCAGAAGTCCGGGGAAGACTCTCGGGGGCACGACCTGACACCGACCCTCGTGTTCCAGCGCCACGGGGAAACCCGGGCACACGGGCACCCCCGTCCCAGGGGTCCCGCCGGGAGGAGGCACCGACCCCGCAGTGGCCGCGGGCCCCACCTTTCCCAGGCGGCACGGCGGGCACTGCGGCCACCCCGGGGCTTGAAGTCGCGACAGCGGCGACGCTGCCTCCGATGGCGACGGCGGCAGCGCCGGTGCCCCGGCCGAGCAGCGCCTCTCCGGAGTCCGCGTCGCTGCCGGAGCCCCCCAGGAGCCCGGCGCTGGCGGGGCTGAGCGCGGCGGCGCCCAGGTCGTCGCCGAGCAGGCGGGCTTCGCGGCGCAGGATCTCCTCGGACTCGCGGAGGTTGCTGCGCCGCAGGAACTGCAGCACGGCCACGAGCGTCTGCCGGTCCAGCGCCGCGGGGGAGGCGGCCGGGCCGGGCGCCGCGGGCTTCGCGGGCGCCGCATCCCCAGCGCCCCCCGCCGCTTCTCCCTCCGCCGCGGCGGCCGGGACGGCGGCGGGAGCGGCGGCAGCGGCGGCGGGGGGCGCCGCGGAGGGCGGCGGTGGCGTCCCCGCCTCGGGGTCCGGCTGCGCCGCCGCCACCTCCGCCGGCTCCTCATGCAGCGCCGCCATCTTGCGCCGCCGCCACGCGCGGCCGCCCTTGCGACAGTGAGGGCAAAGGAAGGGCAGCGCCGCCACCGCCTGCGCGGGCACGCGCGGCTTCGTTTTGCGACGCTGGCGGGAGCGCTTTGCGGCAGCGGGGGCTGTGAGGGGCGGTGGGAGCGCGTTCGGGAAGGGCCTTCCCGGGGCTCCTGGAGGATTCCAGTGACGGCCCTGGGACTGTGTGCCCTCTGGGTCCTCAGCGGCCCTGCTCCACGTTAGGTTAATTACGGCTGGGCCGCTCGGTTCTCCAGGTACTTCTAATACTGCTTCTTTCATTCATGTTTGTTAAACAGAGGTTCTTTTGTACCCGTCGAAAGGGTGAGAGAGCTGGGGGTGTTCGGGCTGGAGGAGGCTCCGAGGAGACCTCAGAGCACCTTCCAGTGCTCTAGGAGAGTGCTGGAAAGTGCTACAAGAGGGCTGGAGAAGGACTTGTTACAAGGGCACGTAGTGACAGAACAAGGATGGATGGATTTAAACTGACACAGGGAGGGTGTAATTTTGATACTAGGAGGAAATTCTTCCCTGTGAGGTTGGTGAGGCACAGGAACAGGTTGCCCAGAGAAGCTGTGGCTGCCCCATCCCTGGAAGTGTTGAAGGCCAGGTTGGATGGGGCTTTGAGCAGCCTGGTCTAGTGAAAGGTGTCCCTGCCCACGGCAGGGTTGGAACTGTGCGATCTTTAAGGTCCTTTCGATTTCATTCTGTTACAGAATTAAAACGTTATTTCGAATGAAACTGGTATCTTATGATTGCCGTTCTTTTGTGAGAAATTAGACGTGTGCCATCGCTTCACTAGAGAGTCACTTGAAAAAAAAAAAAAGATGAAGCCTCGGGCTAGAAAAACTGCAGACCAGTGGTGGCTCAGCGCATGCGCTGTGGTGCTGCCCGTTGTCCGCTGTGACTACATTCCCCAGCGTGCTCCGCGGCGCCTCCGCGCATGCTCCCTGCGCCGTGGAGAGACCCGCGGCGATCCCGGTCGGTGGACATGGAGGAGGGCGCGGAGAGCGGGGTGTCGGGGCCGTCGGGCGGGGACGGAGCGGGAGCAGGAACGGGAACGGGAGCAGGCGCAGGCCTGGCCCCGGCCGATGAGGACCGGGACATGGAGGGGGCCCCCAGCTGTTCGGGGTCGCGCTCCGTCCCTTTCGAGTTTCAGCGGAGCCGTTCGGAGTCCACCGGCGACGAGGACGACGACGACGACGAAGACGACGAGGAGGAGGAAGAGGAGCTGGAGGGGGACGCCGGGGCTCGATTCGGGACGGATGACGGGGAGCACGACTCAGACGACGACCGGGAGGTAAAAGGGGCCAGAGGGTTCCCGGGGCTCTCCAGGCCCCGCTCCCGAGGTGCCCCGCGTCTGGGAATGGGCTTTTTATTATTTTTTTATTGTTGTCATTTTGTGTCCACATTACTTATTTTAATATTTCTTTTATTGTTACCCGAGTTCACTTTGTCCGTCTCGTTCCAAAGAAGCCCCTACAAACTCGGTGTGGCTGAGAGGGTGGTAGGCGGTGGCACGTGGGCGAAATGAATGGTGGTGTTGAGGGAAAGAAAGCCCTTCGGTATGGCTTTGAGACGAGAGGAAACGGGACGGAAAAACCTAGTGCGTTACCTTCTTCAGACGCGTGTCAAATCGTTGCTATTGAAAAAATTGTTCGTTTTTTGACATAGTGTTGTTCAGACGGGAAAGTTGTTGTGGAACCACTTACGTGCTTTCCTGATAAGTGTATTTCGTGAGCAGAACTCAGAGCAGTGAAGTTTCAGTCTTTGCTTCAATATGTGTTTGTATAATCTATAACTGTGTGTAGAAGCAAGAGATGACTGTCCCTTGTGATATAAACTTGTTATATATCTTGATTGGGGGCCCCAACATGCCTTATGAGCATTTTCAAACAATGATACTGTTTGCTACCCCATCCACTTCAACCTCGGTGACTATTTGATACTTTGTTAAGAGTTTATCCAAAAGAGCTTTTCCCAAAATGATTGTTTAAAAGTTTGCTTTTTAGTTATGATTCATGAAACAAGTTGGATTGCCGTTCTCAAAAAGGTCCATTTAGAAGAATAGATGAAAGTCTTCAGAAAAGATCTGTATCTGAGGAGTGATTGACCTCTTAGGAAAAGCCATTCCTCTAGCCTGTCAATCCCGCGTTTTTTCGTGGTTTTAAGGTTACGGTATTTTGGAAGTTGCAATCAGGAAATTTCATGGCTTAGCCTGTGTATTCAAACTCTTACAAACTGTCTTTGTTGTTTGTAGCGGATGATAAACCTCGCAGAGTTGACCCCTTACATCCTGTGTTCCATTTGCAAAGGTTACTTTATTGATGCTACAACTATTACAGAATGTCTGCACACCTGTAAGTATGCAGGATCACCTGTCTAAGAGTTTAGTTGCAAATTCAAACAAAGTCAGTGTTGAGATGTTCTGGGTTCACAGAAATAGTTCTGTTTGAAGTGAATGTGTGTTGTGTTTATTCTGTTCCATAAGGGGCATATATTTGTGCATACTTAAAGCACCAGAAAATCATGAAATCACTCGATCATGAATTCTGCTTTCCAGGTTAAGAGGGAAAACGATGTAAGAAAAGAAAAAGCCCAAATAAGACAAAAATAGAGCTGCTATGTACACTTTTTAAATTATTTTTTTAAAGTAGGCTCCAGGAATTTGAGTATAAAACTGAGAAAAGAAAGTTGAGTGGCTCTGCTTGTAGTGGACTAAAGAGTTTCCTAAACTGTTGTTGATGTGAATTCACAAAGTTCCATAAATACCTGTATGGAAGTACCAGTTCAAATACAAAATTTGTGGTCTGCACCCATGGGAAAGTTTGTCTATAATCTCATGAATGGAAATAGATGGGTAATTAAAAAAATTATTTCAGTGTGCTTATCCTGTTCTTCTTCCCCTCAATCCTAGTGCTAACAGCTTTTCCATTACTAACCGAACTATTTTCTCTTAAAACTAATAAAACCCTTTCTGTGAAGCTGATTTTCAGCTGCACCCATGTTCCTACCTGAGTCCAAGAATCCTGGCTTCCTAGACCTCCCAACCACTCAAAATACAAAGAGGGAAAACTCTTTTTCTTTTTTTCTTTTTCCCCTTTTTTTGGGCACTGCTGACTGGTTTGTTATATAGCACATAGTATTCAGCACAGTTTATAATTTAGGAAAAAGCCCAACTGTTAGTAAGGACGACATAATGTTGCAAGTGTAGCTGTGGTGGTCTCTTAGAAGTTTCCTGGTAAATGTTGTGGAAAAGTTCAGACTGGCAGGGAGCTGATTTGATAGTAGGTTAATTATTCTAGATATTTTCACTCATTAGCTTTTCTTCCGAGTTTTTTAAGTACATGTAAAACAGAATGAAAATGGCAGAGTTATGATTTCTTACCTTGTTTTTACTGAACCTGTTTTAGGCTGCTTTTCAGCAGTCAGTATTCTGTTGTCTTAGTTCTGCTCATGTTCTAGATAACACAGTTACAACACTGAACACCCACTCACCTTTGCATCAGTTGCATTAGGAGTGTTCAGTGACTTGGTTCATTTTACCTCTTGACAAATTTTGTTTGGGAGCTCTGTGTGTAATTGTTCCTCTTGCCTGAACAGATGGCACTGTATTAATGGACATGTGACTCCCATGGAGTTTCTTTTCTTTACAGTTTGTAAAAGCTGCATCGTGAGACACTTCTACTATAGCAACAGATGTCCAAAATGCAATATTGTTGTACATCAGACACAGCCCCTTTATAATATCAGGTAATGAGTTTGTGCTATTTTTTATAGATTTGCTGCTTGCTTTTAAATGTTTTGGTTTGCAGACTTGTAGTTCTTTCCTGTTTCAAAAGAAGGAACAGCTGCAAGAAACACATTCTGTTCTTTGTGTATGTAAGTTTCATCTCAATAGTTAAGATAAAACACCCTCAGTGTACTGTTTTATCTAGTTTGTATCCATTTCTAGGGTTTGTTACATTCTACCCTAGTTATTTTTATGTGTTTGCTCAGTGTTAGAGGTGACATGAGCTGCATCATACAAAGGTGAAGCTTTGTTGGCATGATATAAACTGAAAATTGAGTTGTAACTTCTTGAGCTGTTCATAAAGGGTGGTGCTTTGAACTTTATATGACTTTTGTTGGAGCTCTCCTGTCAGGATGTGTATTTTGAAATATATGGAGTTGCTGCTCTATCACTCTTCTCTTTAGATATGTCATGTTTCAACAGTGTATTTTGCATCTTTGTTACAATAAAATGAAACCCTTTTATGTTGCACCAAATACTTTTCTTTTTCTTTTTTTTTTTTTTTTTCCTATTTCATAGACTGGACCGGCAACTGCAAGACATAGTCTATAAATTAGTTGTCAATCTTGAGGAAAGTAAGTCCCTTTCTTTATTACCATATGGAGATTGAAAAGACTGAACAGGAGACAGAGTAATTAAAAGCCCTCTGGACTCTTTAAAATAGTTTTGTAATGTTTGGTTCTAAATCTTAATGAATTATCTGTGACTACTGGCACCTTTCTGGCTGCTAAATGCTATTAAGGGTAGCAGTGTGTACCCTATCTCATGAAACACAGGTGTCACTGTATTCAGGTAAACATCCAGGAAATATTTCATAGTTATGCCTCTTATTTTTGTAGAAGTATATCATATTCTGTGTAACAAGTTCACTTGGCTCAGTTGAAATAAGTTGCTAAGACTGATTCTCTCAAATGCTTTTGTTTTTTCCTCGCTGCCATATTTATTTGTCTGATTTTAAATGTGTTCACTGTCTCATCTCATTTACTTTCAACTTTGGGAGCCATCAATCTAGTGGATATGTATGGACTATAGAAAGTATAAAAATAGTCATGGATGCAGAAGGGTTCTGGTTTTTGCAGCTATCTCAGTATGATTTATGGCCAATTTCTCTGATTTCTTTCTAGTTTTTACTAACAAAATCTTATTCTGAGTGTCTTAAGTGTCTCCCTTCATATGGAATACTAGTGATGATGAAGGTCTGTAGGAAACTGGAAAGTTTTTACTGTTCTCACCATTGGAATTCATATGGATATTTTCAGCATCTGAAATAACATTTCAATCTGTATTGTGGCTTTTCTTTTTTTCAGGAGAGAAAAAACAAATGCATGACTTCTATAAAGAAAGAGGATTAGAAGTGCCCAAACCAGGTGAGCTGTAATCACTTTAGGGGACACTGTTAGGGATGTGCTTACTATCTAATTTATTTTTAAGGCCTTAAAGTATTAGCTCACAACTGAAGGAGATGTGTGATATTGGAAATTTGGAATTTTTGGTTATCTGACTGCTATAACTTGTCACAGATATCAGATTACAAAAATAGTTAGAAGTGGCAACACTTAAACCCAGATAAGGTTGGATTTTTAAGCTATATGTTTTGCCTGTGATCAAGAAATGTATCTAAAATGTGCATTAATTTTATTTTCTGGACCTTAATAAGTAATAGACATTACAAAGGAGTAAAAATAAGAACTTCAAAGTCTGCTCACAGATGAGGGATTATTTTAAGTATTTTGTGTCTTACTATCAAACAGCTCTTAGGAGAAGGGCCTTACTGGAAGTACTGAAAGGCTGGTTCAGATACACAGCATACAGTGTAGGAAGAGCTGATTTAGTGATAAAAAATAGAATTAATTGTATGGGCTTCTTTTCCTGATGAGTTCTTCTGTTTTGCTTGGTGCATATTAGCATCTTATGCTGTTTTTATTTCAAGTTGTCCTTGCATTTTGGCTTTTTGAACATTTTAGCTGTCCCACAGCCGGTTCCAACGAGCAGAGGAAGACCTCGGAAGGTTCTGGGCTCAGTGTTCCGGATTCCACCGGAACTTGACATCTCCATACTTCTGGAGTTTATTGGGTGAGTTGTGGGCAAATATAAGAGCAGGTGGCTGACATGAAGATGCTGCTTGTGTGTGCTGGACCATTACTAGCCCTTGGTTTTCATAAGGTGTGCATTTCCTCATCTCAAATAGCAGTGGGGAGTTGATTTTAACTTATAGTGCAATAGTGACAGCCAATCATAGCTAGATAATGCAAATAATTATATGTTTAAGATGTGTCTTTCTATAAAAATAGCTTCCCAGAAAGTGTAATTTTAAAACTTACATGTGTTTCAGTTTTGAGAAAAGTAGTACAGTCTCAGTAGAATGATGGAATCCCTGTCTGTTCCAGTCCCCTCATCCCTGTAGGTGGCAGTATCATTAATGCTGGCTGTTCTTAGACTGGCTTGTGGGAAATGTAATTCTAACCTCTACCCAGATTGTGCCTCCTTTTGGCCTGAATTTATCTCAACAAAACATTGAGACCACCAGTATGTAATCATAACAAACTGTTACACAAATGACATAAAATTAAGCCCTCGGAAACTCAGAAGTTCTATTGGCAAAGCGTATCTTGATTCAGCCTCACTCTTTGTAGACATCTTTTTACACGTTATGTCCAGTTTCTCCACTGTGTGTCACTTTATTCCGAGTACAGAACAAATTTTCTTCATGGGTAAATTTTGGTAAGGTGGGGGGTGGCATGTGGTTTTCTGTTTTGTTGGCTTTATTTTTGTGTTGCCCATGGTGTGTCTTCTTTATTTCTTTAAATGGGTGGGGAGTGGGACTGCAGGAGAAAAAGGGACGATCTTAAAGCTCAACCTCTAGGGAACAGTACTTGAGTGTGCTATAGGATATCCTTGTGTGTTAAAGTTTTGACATCAGGCTCTCAGCTCCATTAGATAGGTTTACTGGCACAAATCAGTCATCTGGTAGCTCAAGGTGGTACCTCACTAGAGGGACCACAAAGAAGGAAATCCCTGGGCAACTACACTCTTACAAGGTAAACTCCCCATCCCTCACGGGAGTCCAGACCAGTAGTGATTTTAGGGTCTGGGATCTTCTCGCTCTTCTTTGGTTCACTGTATCATCACTTAATGCTTGCTGTGTGATTGTCTTCACATCCTCTTTAGTCTGTTTTGGTCAGTTCTGTGGTCCATGTTGTAATATGGTTGTTACTGTTCATATACTACAATTTATGGGCTACCTACTTCCACTATTAGTTTTTAAATAGTATTTAAGGTGCTAGCTTTGTCTGTTCTAACTCTTGTTAACATTCAGGTTGTTAGCTGCAGGTTTTGCTGTAACCCATCTTTGACTTATGCAACAGAGCCATGTAGTTCAAGCAGAGTTCAACTTGTGGCCTAACAAACAATTCTTGCTACTAATGTCAAGCAAGCACTCAGCTCCTTTCAAATAATATAAAATTTTTGACACTGTGAATCCACATACCCGACTTAATTTCAGTTCATTTTCTCACGCCTGCCTTGCAGCCAAATGCTCGCAAGCACAGCTGAAAGCAGGGGGAGTCATTACTAAAACTGCAGTATCTAGTGTTCTGATGGGACTGATGGCACTGCTGTGCTGGTCAGCAGGTGGCAGAGGGGGCACGAGTACCATGCAGTGGTTCTTCCACATCGATAATTGCACATGTGAAATTACTTTAAAAACCAGGAATTAGATATTAGGTCTCCCGTTCAGGTTGGATCACTTAGTGACTCTGTAGGAAAGCTTCCTTAGGTTGTCGTGACTGCAGGATCAGATGCAGTTTGAATTCACTGTGGTGAAAACAATTTGGTTCAGATCTCCCCTGTGAAAGCCTCCTGGTTACTTCTCCACTTCTCTGATTCTCAGCAAGGATATTTATGGGGTTTTTTTTTCAAAGCAAGAAGAAGGTAACAGGCAATTCAGACCTTAAAACTAGTAAACTCTTATCTGCCTAAGAAACAACATGACTTTTGAACCTGTGTTGCTGTATTTGCTTTTCTGGTGGTTTTATTTCAAGCTTCCATTCCAGCATTCACAATGAATGGGTAATACTGTGCAAATACCATCTATACTGGGTGGAACTGTCCAGTGTAGTTTTGTTACTTATATGGGGGAAGCATACAATGTTTCTAACAAAAAGAAGGATGATGGCTTAACAGCATGCACTTTGTATTTATTTAATGTTAGTGACTTTAACCTTTGATCTTCTTTGATATTTTTTGAGTTTGAATGTAATGTGTTTTCTTCTTCTGTGGTCAAAATCAAAGAGTTCATCTTAGCTATGAGAGATTAACAAAGCATTTTGGATAAAGCAAACTTGGAATAGATTGGACCAGCCAGAAGAAATTGTTACATTGAAATTCTGACTGTCTCTGTTGTGTCTTTAGAGTATATAATCTAGTCACCTGTGGCTGTGGAACTGGATCAAATAAAATGACAGCTGCAGTGAAAAAGCTTTTCTTTGTTTGTTTCTTAGCTCATGATGGCTTTACCTAACTCTGGTATATATTTAGAGGTGGAGATGCTCAATTACAGTAACCTGAAGTGCTGTGCTAATGTGTGGTCTGCACATTTGTTTGCTACACCAAATGGTCAGTTGATTTATAGTGACGTTTGATTTTTGCCTTCTCCAGTGCAATGATATACTTCATTTTGTCCTCTCTTTTGTGTACATACTTGCTAATGCAATGCAAGAATAATGAAACGTCGTGGATTGGGTTTAATTAAGTGACAAATGTATATGTTACTCTACAAGAAGAAGGTGTGGAGTACAGATGATCAGTGGTAGGTCACAGGCTCAGGATGTGCAAATCAGTGAACCTTGGTGGAAGCCAGTTGGGAATTTGGTCATTTGTCACCTTTGTGTGCATTTCACATTCCAGAGAAACACACACTGCTTTTCTGAGTTCCAAGGTAGCATTAATATTGTCATATAAATAGTCTGGAAGGCCGACAGCTGGCACAGGGAGCCCCTTAGGTGTCTGTGTGTGTTCTGTGAGTAACTTAGGTACTGTCTGTTAAAGTTCCAAATATCAAGGACCATGAAGTATGGAAATTTAAGCAGCATTAATATTACAACCAACTCCTATGAAAATGAATGTTGTGTTTAAAAATGGCTGTAGGCTGTGTTGGTTTTTACTCCCATTTCAAGCAGACAAACCTTAAAGCCATAAGTAGCTGAATTCACAAGAAAAAATTGAGCAGAAAAATAAGGGATAGGAGAAAAATTTATATAAATTTAGTCTAATGTTATTTCATGTATTGGAGCCTGAACTGGGAAAATAAGCTTGATATGCAAGACTCATAAATCAATAACTCACTATTATAAAGAGATTGAGGATATTAATAACTGTCTATTGACTGTGTTTACTCTACTCTTGTTTTTTTTTCCAGAGCTAACGAAGGCACAGGGAATTTTAAGGTACAGATGTGATTTGAATTTTTCTCTTATGGTTTACTCCAGAAACAAGTATACCCTGAATGTATTTAGTTTAGTTTGGTTTTCTCACACTGAATGCAGCCTGAACTTTCATCAGCATAGTAATAACCAATCTTGGATTGCAGTGTGTACTTTCAAACCTATTGTTATATAACATCATGCCTATCCAGCATTTTTTCTTATTTTTACCCTTACATTTCACAGTGTTTTTTTCAGGTTCTTGCCTTTGTATCACCACCTACCCTTTCTGACTCACATTTGCCTTTCTTTCTGCTTTGTTGTTTGTCTTCTTTGTTTTGGGGAACGCAAAACAGTTGTGATGCTCCACCCTTAAGGGAAGTTTCCTTACGAGAACTAGATGGAGAATGTAATATATAAATAAGGAGTTATAATATATATAAGAAGTTATACTTAATATATAAGGGGTTTCAACTGTCCTTTTTTAAGTGGGGACAGGGGAGTAGAGAACAGGTCCATGGCCGTAAACTGATTTATATATGCAGCAAGCCTAAATTTAGCATCATCAAGCTTGCAGCAGCGGGGTCCCCAGATCAGGTCTGACTGTAATTTCTAGCTCTTGCACATGAATAAATCAAACTATTGTTCCCAAAGCACAGTTATCGTGGATACCTATTTAAATTCATGATTGAATTCAAAGGTAGTCCATGACCCTCAGCCCATTCTTTTATTTTGAAAAAAATACGATGAACCTGGGTAGTAAATCGCATCTGTTCAGAAGTCAACATAAAAATCCAATCAATTGACACGAAAAGTAATCCATTTATCACACTGAATGCAGTCATCTGCTCTTTGTGCCTTTTTGTGTAGTTGTCCATATCAGCTGTTTAAAATTTAATCCGTAGAATGGAAGACCATTAAAATTCTTGAGTCTGGTATAACAAATATCTCCTTGTTGCAGTCCTGTCTGTGAAAGTATTTAGAAAAAAGCAAAAAGCTTTCAGACTAGTCTTGCCCTTGTGTTCTGCTTAGTAGTATATTTTAGTTGATTCTGGAATTTCATGGGCTATTAAGTTGGTTCCAGCATGAGCTATACTACTTCTGGAATGCTAAAGGACTTAAGCTCCTTGCATCATAAAATGATGGGTTTTAAGTATCTGAATTGTGTTTGATATACAAGCCTGATTTGGAGAAAATATGGAAACTTTAGGAAATTTTCTTGTCCTTCAGATGAATAAATCCTTGTGGGGGGAGAAATTCTTAAAATAAAATAAGACTGAAGACAGTTGCTGATTATTTTTTAAATGTCTTAAACAGAGGGAAGTTTGAACACAGAGTCTTAATACGTATTTATTTCTTTCCCTATGAGGTAATCTGCAAATAGATCAGAGAAGGGTCCAAAAATTTAAGCTGTCTCCCTTTGTTATTGGATTGTCACTTGCATTTGGAGTTTACAAGGGGTGAGGGCTGCAAATGTACATTGTCTTAAAATCTTTACTTATTCTTTGCAGCCTTTGGAAAAGAAGTTTGTGCGTGTTTCCGGGGAGGCAACAATTGGACATGTGGAGAAATTCCTCAGAAGAAAAATGGATCTGGACCCTGCTTGTCAGGTGTGCACTTGCAGTGGCACTTACAAGTTCCCTGTAGTCAATGTAATGCCTCTGCTTTGGACAGACATTTCCATTGTTCTTTAGATTCTAAAAGTAATGTTAGATTTTTTTAATGCAGTAGGGATTAAAAAACTAATTGTTTGAAATGTTGTGATCTGCAAGGAACAACTCTCCTAGTTCATTTGCAACCTGTTTAAATTTTCATAATACTTTATTAATTGGATAGAGTTTTTAAAGTGCCATTTAAGATTTCAGCTGATGAAATTCAAAACCAAGAGACTGCTGTTTCAAAGGTAAAACTGGACAGGAAAGTGTGGGAATGTGGGAGTATATGAAGGCAGGAGCTGAATAACAGTAAAACTTAACTGAATGCAAACAAGGGCTAAGAAAGAATGATAAGGTGCAAATGCAAGTATAGACACTTCCCTCCAAATAAGAATTTAAAGGAACAAAAGAATTAAGCTTCATAGTTTCTCAACCATTTTGAGAGGAACTGCATGTCAAAACCAGTTTTTCAATTCTTCCGTGTATTTCAGCAACCATTCTGTTGGGAGAGTGTGGGAGTTCTGTAAGGTGTAAATAATTCCTCAAGCTGTCAATTACTGGAAAATCAAGCTGATATTGATGTGAATAGGGAAATGGTGGAACTTAAGGGCTGGGTTTGGCGTTAAGGCTGTTTTCATACAGCAGTAGGTGTCTGAGGCAATACAGCGTGGCTGTGTGCCTCAGTAATGAGTGTTTATTCATGCTGCTTACCTTTTCAGTGGTGACAAAGCAAATCAGATATAAATTATTCATCATGCTGAGGAAGTAATGTATTTTCATTTGCTAGTTTCCTCTCAGTGAGAGTCTCTAGCTTTCAGGTGGTGGTGACTTGATATTTTGAACAAATAAAAGTATCCTCAAAATGAGGCTAGAGAAGCTTTTTGCATCAATTGAATTGTGGTTTATTTGAGGGGAATGAATTGTTTTGTTTGTTTGGATTTTCTTAAGTAGGACATCAGAATCTCAGTTCTCAGGAACACTGAGCATCTGTCATGGAAATTCCAGATACTCATTTCTCAAAATAAAGCTGAGCCCATGTGTGGAGGTCTTTCAGATTTTGCAGTCTTGAGATCATCTAACAGAGCTGACTTGAATGTTTTTCCCCCGTTAGTTACTTTCTGCTGGGACTTTGCCAGACAGATATGATCTCCTATTAGTGGGTAAATGTTTTACTCCTTCCCTGTTAGAGCTGATTCAGTGACCAGGTGATAGATGTGTTACCCATTCTCCTGAGCTACTGACTGTGCTTGGGCCTCTTCGGCTTAATTTGTTCATGTGCAGTGTTAGCCAATACTTGCCCTTCTTCATTGACCTGCACAAGACTGAGGTTAATGAAAAGGTGAAATAAGCCAGCTGACTCGTGTGACAGTATATATAAGTCTAAAAACCAATTTTGAAGCCACTGCCTTTGTTCTTTTTCTCCTAGTCTGAGGCTTCAAATTGTTTTCGTATTTCTGTATTTGAATTTGCAAATGGAGTATGATTCAAATGTCCTAGTTTATCTGAAGGTTATGGCTTCATTTTTATCTACTGCTTGAGCTGGTAGACTGTAGTTTATTCTTTCTGATGCTTTGTTTTGATCTCTGTGCTTTGGGCAATGATTAATTTCCTGTATAGGTTTGTGTATACTTCTAATTACAAGGTCTTTCTTGAATATTCTTGCTGAAATTTGTTAGGAGAGGGTGAAAATCGTTTTTGAGAAACTGGAATTGCTATTAATAGCTGAGTTAGGTAACATTTCATGTGAGCTAAATACAGTCTATGGTGTTTAAGAATCCCTTAGATCTTGTCTTCAAGATGTGATGCAGAAGTTTTCTTTACAGTGTGATTTCCTCTGATGTCATCCTGCAGCAGCAGTATCCCTTCTTGGTATTCATTCTGTAAGGAGGAGAGAGATTGCTGAAAGACTTGTGGCTTGGCTGGTCCAAATGCATTAACGTAGTTTATGGAATAGAAGTGTTCTGTTACCAGATGGGCATTCCTGAAAGTGTGTGTGTGAGCTGCAGCCTGGGGGAAGATTAGAAGAAAGGAAGTCTGTGCTCACAGACTGTAGCTGTTGATGCAGTTTCTTTATGCCAGTCTTAAACCCTGGAATAGAGGTATCTGGTACCTTTGAAAAGTAAATAGCAGCTATTTACTGAGGAAGTGGGAAGCTTTGACAGCTTTTTGAATAACTAGCCCAAATACTCATGTCAATCTCTAAAACTCTCTATTTTCCTTGCCCTTCCCTGGGTAGTATGGTTTGGCATAGAAACTACTGATTGAGGTCTACTGTTTTCTGGGCCAGATTCTCCCCTGGGATGAAGCTTATATGGGGGTGTCCCTTATATGAACTTTTTCTATTTTTATTTCTGTCTTACTTAGTGATTATGAATTTATAATTGTCTGTTATCGTGGCTTTAGAGAAATAGCTCTTATAGCAGACATGCCACCTAAAGAAAAGAAATGGCATAATAGAAAGCCTGTTTTATTTTAATAAGAATTGTAACAAGTGACTGAGTATTCAGCAGCTACATCTTCATGCTTCTGTTCAGCCAAAGGTCAAGCTACATTTATTACTCACAAGCAATCAGTACCAGCTGATTTCAATTTTACCAATCAGTTGAAATTTTACTAAATCTATAGTGCTTGTTGCCTTTTTTTGCAATGCAATGTATTAATTCCTAAACAAAGATTCCTCTGAGACACATTTCACAACTGATTTTCACACTAAACTGGGAATTTATTTTTTTTTAGTATATATTTCATTCTTTTGTCTTTATAGAATGAATTCTAGCATAACAATTAGTAGGCAGAATTTCAGGCTTTGGTGCTAGAATTATAGGAGGGTTAGGCATTTGGTATTCAGAGCACTCTAGTACAATAAATGTGAAAAACTCTTCTCAATTGATTATTAGACACTGGCTCTTTAATGACTATCATTTGAAACTGGAGCAGCAGGTACAACAATGGGATACTTTCAAACAAGCATTCTAATCCTATTTTGAGAGATTGTCAGCAGCTGCGACTGTGTCTGTTTGCATCTTATATTGGTCAAACAGATTAGATTTTCTGTTTCTTTAGAATATATAAAATACATATGTATATATGTTTCAGTGGGAGCAGGTTTGAGTTTTCAGTGCCTTATAGTATTCAAAAAAGCTTATAAAGCAAAAGTAATTAAACTCATGTATCACTGGAAAGCAAAGCAGACATGTCTGTCTTCCTGCAGTAATAACTGTAGAGGCTAAAATGCATGGAAGACAGCAGAAATAACTAGCCAGTTTTCAAAAAGAAAAGAAATATATTTCTTTTAGGTGCCATGTTAAATACATTAAATGTTGATGTTAAATATATGCATTTGTGCATATATGGATCAGTATTTAATGTTGCATCTGGATTGGTTTTTACTTGCTGGTTTGCTTCTAGAAGCTAAAGCAGAAATAATGCTAAGCAGTTTACATCTTCTGCACATTAAGAATCAAGATAACATAAAGAGAGTGTTCTACATCGTCCTCTTATGATACAGATGGTGAAGTAAATTAGCCCCTTTGAGCCTCTGAGGAGTAGAATTCCTGTGTTCCTGAGTCTCAGAACAATGTGGTCTGCCAGCATGAGGCATAAATCTTGCCAAATCTCTTCAAGAAGAACAAGGGAGAGATAGTGGGTCAGCATGCAGAAGAGCATAAATCCAGGGGAACTGAATAGCTGCAGCACAGAGTGCATCCTGTCCTGGAAAGTGGCCATAGAAGAGAATACGTCATGATATTGCAGTGTGCTCCCCGACTGCTGCAGGGGCAGAGCTTAGACAATTTCCTTGCAGAAAGCTGTGGGACAGCTCAGTGTCAATGCTCTGAACTTCAGTTTGAGGTTTTGTCAATTCACAAACAAGAGCGCTCTCACTTCCATATCTAGAAATTGCCCATAAGGAAAATTTAACCGTGCTGCAGTTGAAGTAGAAACAGTGCTGTGTTAGCTGTTCTGATTTGGAATGTTAGAGAGTGGATTTGCGTTATGCACAGCAAATTCATATAACTTTATAAAGAAGCCTAGTTTTTATAATAGTCAAGGCAAGGAGTTCAGAATACCTTGTTATGGTTTATTTTTTCCACAAAATTACTGTTTTTGTGGGCAGTTACTTAAAAAAAGTGCCTTGTCTGAAATTGCTTACAGTGTTAACACAGTTTAGCTGCATAAGAGGACAATGCACAGAAGTGCTGAGTATGCCCTACAGTTGCATCCCAGAAATACTGACTGGATGCGTGTTAAAGGAGGACTGTGTGATGTACCAGCTGACAGGGGCATGCAGGGAGATTAAAACACTTCTTTCAAACAGCATATTAAGTGAACTTAGTCACATTCTCTCACTCGAGGTAAGAATGAGGGTAGCAATGGCTCACTTTCTGTCAGCAGCACAAACAACTGTCTTTTGCAACTGATGTGATGAGTGATTCCATATATTTTAGGGATCATTGTAATACATGATCTAAATTCCCATTAAATTCATCACAGCTGTTACTAAGCAGCTTCTTTCAGTGGGTGCACCAAATTGTGAGGGAAACAATAAACTGTCCGCTCTGTTCCAGCAGTGAGCCCCAAGTCAGGGCCATGGGGCGAGAGGCATTCGGGCAGTGCAGTAGTGCTGTGCGTGCTAAATACATTTGGACAATAAAGGTGAAGATGACTTGAATGTCTAACATGCTAGAATTGAACTCTGCTAATCAAGTTAAAAGGGCTTAGATATGGTTTTGCTACTACAAAGGTAGTTGACCTTGACCATATTTGTGTTCTGTCACAGGTGGACATAATATGTGGTGATCACCTGCTAGAGCACTACCAGACACTGAGGGAAATTCGTCAAGTCATAGGAGAGAGCGCGGTGCAGGTACGTGGGGCAGCTGGGGCTTTGTTCCAGGTTTTCTCTTTTAAACTAGAAGACTTCTTTCTTAAGCTGTCAGGAAGCACCAGCTTGTCTGAAGAAACTGCTCAGAAGATCTCTCCAGCTTATGCAAAATGATGTTTATCTTTTAAGTAGAGTTGAGAAGTGTACCATGTGCTGAGAGTGTTCTCGACCATTTTCATGATGTTCTGGATACAAGGTTTTTGTGTTGGGTTTTGTTTGGGGTTTGGGTTTCTTCCCCCAAAACAAGTTGCTGTCTTATCAGGGGTAGATTATATCAGCTGTTCTTTCAGTTACCATGGCTTGTTTTTCCTCCCTGGTAATTGCATCTCTGCAAGAAATTAGAGGACAAATCCCAAGTAAGGTTACCCTTGTGACTGAGTAAGGAGGATAAACTTGCTCATTAAAACACAAACCAAGATAGAGGGTAGTGAGTGCAGTTAATAGGCTTGATGCATATTGTACTGGTTCTGCTCACAGCATGGCCAACTATTCCTTGTTGATAACTCACTGTCTTTAGTGCTGCTGGCTTTGCAAATAAGAAAGCATTTATTTTTAATTCTTTGTGAACCTTTTCAAGCATCTTTATAGTGGGAAAGATCACACCAGTTTCGAAGTGCTGCAAAAACAATGAAGTATTCTGCATAGTAGAATATAGATGTAAAATCATGATATGGTAAACTGTATAGTAATATAAAATTGAAAGTTTGAGAAGGTAATGTTTAATTTAATACAGTGGGGAAAATAAGATTTGGATTGGTGTTTTATTTGGAAAGCAATCTAATTAGATAGTAGAAGGGCTGAAATAGTTGCAGAATTGTTTCTCTTCACTTCTTTGTGCACAAACTTCTACGTTTAAATTTCCTGCTGAGCCCTCTCATGCTACAGGGAGGCTTCTGTGTCAGGGTCAAGAAGTAGAAAGCTGATTTTGAGATATCTTGGACTTTGCATCACCTGCACCTGATTTGAGTCACTAGGAGGGGTCCCACAGTCAGGGCAGAGTTTTGGCAGACATTAAAAGCCTGTGAGGCTTGTGCTGTTTCTGTGGTCAAAGAGAATTTAGGCCATACTTGATGTTTTAGCTGTTTATACATGAAGAAAAAATGAAAATGTAACCTAACTCACTTTGAGGAGCAGGGGATAGAAACTGGGAGGAAGCAGGTACTGTTAACAAGCTTGTTTCTAACATAATGAGTTCATTGTAAGTAAATTCAGCAATCAGCACATAGTGCTGGAAGTGCCCTCTACTAAAAGCTTCTGTAAATGGCAGGGGGATTATATGTTTCTCAGTCCAGGGGTATAGTCACATAAATGCTTTTTAAACTTGATCTTAGCATGAAAGCCTTTAATGTATGGAAAATGCTCTTGGGGAAGCACTTTAAAGAATACTGCATGAGTTTCATTTCTTGTCAGAAATGGATCTGCCTAGTTGAAGTTTAGTGTCTTTCATTTGTTGTCAGAATTGTGTCTGCCTGATTGATGTTTAGTGATGAGCTACCGTCAGCAGCTCCACAAAGAGAACAGTTGTCTTGGGATTCATTCTGCAGTGAGGCTTCAAGTCTCATTTATTACAGAATCAGTATGCTAGCAGTTAATTCTCTCAAGACTGCTCTGTTGAGCAAATAAACAGAAAAAACATACTTGCTTTTTTTGAAGTCCTGTGCTTTCATAGTCACTCCTGACAAGAAACTTGAAAGATTGGGTTCATCCTTAATTTTTCTTCATTTTGTTACAAAACCTCTTAGGATGTGAAATAGTTACAGTAGGAATGTTGCAAATTAACCACAGTTGCTTCTTTATTAATATTGAAATAATTGTGACATTTATAATGTTCTTTAGTCTAACATTATATTATTTTTTAGAAACCATGAGGATGCATTTCTAGGATTAAAAAAGCCTTGGAAAATATTTTTAGATAATTATCCAGGAAAAAAAATAAACTGATAGGTCAAGTCTAAAAATAATGAGTGTTTATTTTTCGCCAGGACCTGAAATTCAATAAGAGGCACAGTTGTCCTGGCCAGTGAGACAACTACAGAGGAATATTTGATGAATTTTACATTAAGCTCCAAGGGCATCTTGTGCCTTTGTAACTTTCCAGCCTTTCTAAATTAGTGTTGGAGCTTGGAACGTCCCTAACAGTTCTCACCAGGATGCTGAGACGCTCTTCAAAACTGCTGTTGTCATTTACCAGTTTCTGGTGTTCATTATAGATGCTTCGTGCTAAGAAAATAGCTTCAGTAGCTACTTCTGCAACACAAAGTCATTTAGAGGAATAAACACTGGACTTTTGTTTAGATGAGTACAGCCACTGTTAGAGGAAAAAAAATAACTGCTGTTTTTCACTTGCTAGTTCATTCATGTCAGCAGTTACTCTTTTTGCTAGGGAAAGGGATTTTAAAAATGCAGATAAGTCTCTCTTTCCCAAAGAAATTAATTTTACTGTGCCTTCTTCAGTAGCATTTGCAATGTAGCATTACATATGTTTGTGTGATTTATTCTTGTGGACCATAATCAGTGTGACTTTTTTTTTTTAGTGTCTTTACTCCTCCTGAATTGTTCTTAAATGCTCAAGATTGTGAGCACAGTCTTGTGAAGATTTTGGGTGCTGTATTTGGTTTTTTTTCCCTACTGACTGGCACTGTGTAGTGGTGCCCTAGAGCCTCAGTAAATTAAAGTCTCCTCTAGGTGCAACCAGCAGGATTTTAGCTGTTCTGAATATGTATGTGCCTGTCCAGCAGGTCTAGGAAGATCAGGTGTGATCTGATGATAAAATAAGTATTCCTGACTCTGGCTCCATAGTAACCTACTCAGGTTGTTTTAACTGGAGTAAAACAGGCAACTCATTTTAGTGGTTGAATGTAAGCAATTAGCATGTTAGTTTCTGAGTACTTGATAGAAGGCTAAAAATGAATCAGCAATAAATCTTGTTTGATCTTGTAGATCTCAGGATGTTTTGACATTTCAGAAATTGGGTGGTTGGTTGAATCTTCCTAATTAGCTGGAAGTAGGATTTCTAGCTCTGTTTAGGGCAAAACAAAAAAAAATTGCTACACAGAATTTATATAAAAAGAAGCAATTTTGTTTTATTTTTAAAACAGTGTAAAACTTCTGCAATTTACTGCAAGGAGTGATAAAAGACACAGAAAATTTTAAAGGCTGAATTTTGTTACCAAGCATTGAGATCTGCCTGTAATGAAGAGTTTGATCAAGTATCTGAGGAAGGAAGCTTGTTAGTAACTATATGGGAATATAATTTCTTCTCTGTATTACCTTCCTCCTCTCTGCTGCACAAATGCAACACGATCCAAGCTGCTGGTTATTTTCATTTGTCTGAAACTGTGCCTTCTCAGAGTTCTGCATCACTGATGGATATAATGAGCTCACACACGGGAAAAGCTAAAAGGAGTGCCTTCCTGATGTCCTTGGCCCTTGGCACAGAGGTTTGGCAGATTCTAATGGTTTCTTTGTAGCTCTCACCTTTTTGTAACCCAATGCTATTGTGCTATTTTTTTGGTCTCCTGAGCTAGGCAGCAAGAGCTGTGCTCTAATTTAATTACTGTGACCTTCTAGCACACATCTGCTACGGAAGTGTTTTACTCTTTGCTGTGGGATTATTGAACTTGCAAAGTGGGGCACTTTTTTTTGCTGCTGCTCTTACAACATCAAAGGGGGTGTATACTCTGATGTTTCGGTCTGTCAGTTCCACTCTACAGCTGGGGTAACAGGTGGGATCCTTTTTAATTTTTTTAGGTCAGGGTCACAAATGTGTAGCAAGGAACACTGTAGAGCTTTGCTTTTCTTTTGAGCCTGTCTGAGTTAAACTGACTTGAGATTTGTAGGAAGTGTGAGAGGACGTTCTCTGTTTGGGCTTCCTTTTAAAAACAGCATCTACAGAAAGCAGCTACACATATGTAGAGATGTGTAATACTTTAGAAGTGAATCAGTAGAGTAAGAAATGCCAGTACTAGGTAACTCCCAGCTTCTCTTTGTGCCAAAGGAATTGCAGTGGGTTTGGCCCTTGGTTTAACAGGGATATTTCCTGTGTAAATAGGTAATTTCTTTAAATGTCCTACTGTCAAATGTACCATTTGAAAACCCATTTGTCAAAGAATACATTGTAGCACTTTCTTCTTGTATAAATATTTCATAAGAAACTGCCATAGAGGAAGAACTGATTTTGTCAACAGTTCTCCAAAAAAATGAAGCCTGAAAATCTCTTATTTTCTCTGTTGAAATAGCTAATGGGCACAAGGAGTAAGTAGCTTTGTGAAGGTGTAACAACGTCCTGTGTGCCAAGAGATTCCTGAGTAACATCATGGGGCCTGTTCCGTGTGACAAGAAGCGAGAACAATCACGATTCTTCCTTCATTTTGCAACGTAGCCATCCCACTTTGTAGTAGAGACTGAAGAAGTGAGTTAAAGCTCCTGTATGCTTCTGTATCATTTCAGGAGTTAGCGATGGATTCCTGGTTAAGAACAGGATGAGTTAGTGAGTTGGCACTAATAGCACAGGAATGCAGTTGGGGGTTTTAATTCCTGACCATTGAAGTTGAGGTTCATTGACATCTACACTACCCTAGGCCTCATTTGTCATCATAAGCATCCATGAAACAAAGTGCATGAAGCTCATGGAGGAACGTGCTCTGGAGCTGTTGGTGATCAATTGCTTAATCTTAAATTTAATCCAATACAAAATGGCTCAAGGGTTATTTTTTCATGAATAGTTGAGGCTGCACAAACTAGTCAAAACCATTTTTACCCAGATAACAAATTATGGTTTAAATATATATATATTCTTCTAAAATACTGTGTTCAGACTAACACAGCACTTTCTCCTGTTGCTGTATTATAATACAGAACCTGTAAAGTGATGGCAGTCTTGTTACTGTTTTTTGGGTCATTAACTTTTTAATTAAAGATTTTTGATATGCTGGTATATCCTCTCACACAGAACTGTGTAACTTCTCTGGAACACATTATCTTGCATCCTGTATGTAAATAGATAAAGACATCTGAAGCAAAATATAGTAGAAGTTACTGCATGTCAGTTATGATTAATGTAGTTCTCTCTTCAAAAGAAAACTTTTTTTTAAAGTCTGTCCATAGAAAGAGGTCTAATACAAGAAGTCAGATTCCCATTGAAAGCAGACTAAGTGCTAGGCCTTTCACCAGTTGTGCGTAAATTAAGTGGCATTAGTAAAGCTAATGGGTCAGAAGTGTCCTGTTTCCCAGATGAAAGGGTTTTTTTATTATGTGGAGCAGTCTCTGAAGAGGAGAAACATAACTTAATAAACTAATGGCTTGTCATTTGGAGTTTTTTTAATTCAATGTGTTTATTACTTAATAAATGTATATAGTAGTAGTCTAGACTCTTCTACTGCAACATCTGCCAGCACCTTCTAGAACTACTTAATGATTACTTTTTTTCCTGACCCACAGTATCATGTGGAAAGCAGCATGACTTGTAAGCGAGAGCCTATTGCATGGAGATAATTCAATTATAAGTTAAAATAAAATCAAAGTACCGGATTCTACTTTATTTTAACACCCTTCTCCATCTCAAAGAGGAAAGAGCAACGTAATTATTTGCCTCGATATGTCAAAATTTGCATTCTCCATATGGAAGGGACACTGTATAAAATGGTGAGACTGTGCCTGGGGTCCTGCCATGCAGTGACTGTGGTACCAGGTGGTGAGGGAAATGCCTGCCTGAAAAGGTGAAGTGGTGGGATGATACAGTTCCTTTCTCTTCTCTGTAGGATGGTTTACTTGTACTGCACTATGGCCTGGTGGTATCTCCGCTAACTTAAGGATTGCTGGAATATTACAAGGCAAAAGAATCTGAAGTCATGGCGCTTCTTCGCTGCTGTTTCTCACCAAAGAAGCCATCGTATTTCCTGTGGCAGGAAGCAAGTTAAAGGAACTACCACTAACTGCTGTGTGATTGTAATGTAACATCTGACTTTACCACTGTAAAAAAATTGCAGCTTCTGTAAGTACAGCTGTAGATGTTGCTATGCTTCACGTTACAAATTACTGTCTTCAGATTTCACTCAGCTCAGGGAATTTAAATGCTCAGAGTAGCTGCATTTTTTTTACTTTCTAAAACCACAAGATTTCACAGGGTTAACAGCCTTTTTTTCCTCTTAAGCTCTGAGATATCTCTTGCTTTCTAAGTGTCTAGCTAGAACAGTGCTCTCAGGGATGATCTTCAGTGAGCAGTATAGTGTATTTTGGGGAGGAGACAGTCAGTTGCCTAAAAAAATGTGTACTGTGATCATCTGTCTTCAGGTATGATTTGGGGAGAGGAAGGAAACTAGAAATGCAGACCAAAATAGGTAGAAAACGATGCAGCATAAGCATTGGTTTTTTTGAGAAGTAGCATTAAATTTAGTTGTTTTTCTTGAAGAAAGACAATTTTGTTTGCACTGGAAATATATTTGCTGGTAGTTTGGCTTATACCAAATGGTGGATCATGCATCTCTAGTCTTAATGGAGATGGGCTGGCTATAAGCTGGTTAAACTATGCATGAAAAAAAAAGTAGCACCTCTTTCTACCTGCTTGCTGTATATAAAGTAATCACTGTCAGCCTGATTCTGCTATCATGAATCTGTCAACTGGCTTGACTGTCAGGAGCATAAATCCATTCACTTTAGCACATACCTCTCTAGCAGCTGTGAAAATGGTCGCTTTTTCCACTCTTTATGTTATTTAGTGCATTGCAGTGGAAACCAGGGCTGAGTAACATAATACTTGCCTATTACTACCAGATTCACAGAGGATTTTAGGTAACTTTAACATACTAAAATACTGTGGTTTGTGACAAGTCTAATACTTCAAATTTTCTTCTGTTGTAAGATTTCCATGTTTTCTTGTGCAGCATTATGGACCAGAGTGCTCTGTGTGTTATGGTCTTGCTGGTCATCAGTGTGGGGATCCATGAAAGCTACCAGGAGGCACCAGGCTCCCTCCTTCCCTGTAGTCTATGTAGGGAAAAGGAGTCTCAAACCTCCATTGTAGCAGAGAAGCAGGTGGACTCAGAGCCCTGCAAGGCAGTTAGTCAAGGGTCTGTTGAAGATAAAGGTTGGAAGCAGGTCATGGCACCTACCAGGAGGAAGGTTGTTCCTTCTTCTGAAAACTTAACAAGTAGGACTGACACCTTCTACAACAGGTGTGAGGCCCTGGAACTAGAAGACCAGACAGGTGATGAGGTAGGCAAAGGTCCTTCTGGGACTCAAGGGTGCACCACCTGTACCCCACATCACAAGCACCTCTGTTTAGAGGAGAAGAAGGGTAGTTGGTGGTTGTAGTGAGAGACTCCCTTCTAAGGGGAGCAGAGGGCCTGATATGCAGACCAGACCCAACTCACAGGGAAGTCTGCTGTGTCCCAGGGTCTCAGGTAAGGGACATTACTGGAAAACTCTCCAGTCTGGTAAGCGCCTCTGATTACTACCCACTATTGGTTGTTAAGCCAGCAGCAACAAAATAACAAAGAGAAGTCCAAGGGCAATCTAAAGAGACTTCAGGGCCTTGGGGCAATTGGCAGTGGGATCAGGAGCACAGGCAGTAATTTCCTTAATCCTTCCAGTAACAAAGAATAATACTGAGAGGAATAGGTAAATCCATCAGGTCAATGTGTGGCTCAGAATCTGGTGTAAGTGGAAAAATACGGGGTTTTTTGACCATGAGATAATCTATTCAACACCTGGTCTACTGACACCTGATGGGACGTACCTTTCTCAGGGGGGAAAAAGAGTTCTAGCACAGGAGCTGGTAGGCCTTGTTGATAGAGCTTTAAGCCAGCTTGGAAGGGGGAAAGGGGCAAAACCAGGTTTGCCAGTAATGAGGGATAGGATGTGGTGTGCCAAAACTAGAGGAAAGGAACACTAATGGGATCCCTGAATCTGCTTCACGAGTTATTGGGTACAGTGTACAACACCTGAAATGTTTCTACACCAGTGCACGCAGCACGAGGAACAAACAATAGGAGCTCAAAGCTTTGGCCCTTTCCCAGAGATCTGATATCAATGGCATTAATGAAACCTGGTGGGATGAGTTCTGTGACTGGAGTGCCCTCTTGGATGATTACAGGCTTTTTGGGGGACAGGCAGAGCAGAAGAGGCAAGGGCTATCCCTCCATCCTTTCCATAGCTGTATGTGAAGGGTTGGAAAGTATGGAGCTCACAGTTGGCAATAGCACAGTTGAGAGCCTGTGGGTAGGAATCAAGGGGCAAACAAAATGCAGATGTCACAGTGGGAGTCTGCTGTAGACTCCCAGCAAGGACAATGGCACTGACAAATTATTCTTTGAGGAACTAAGGGACAATTCCAAGGCAACTCCCCTTGTCCTTATGGGGTACTTCACCTTGCCAAAAATCAACTGAGGGCATCACACAGCTGGTACAACCTGGGCCAGAAGATTCTTAAAAAAACTGGATGACAGCTTTATGGAACAGGTCCTAAGGGAGCCGACTTGGAAAGATGCCCTCCTTGATCTGCTGCTTGTCAACAAAGTGGATCTCGTGAGCAAAGTGGAGATCAGTGACCGTCTTGGCCACAGTGACCATGAAGGGATCGAGTTTAAAATCTCTGTTGACAGGAGGAAAAGTGCCAGCAAGACTTTGGCTCTGGACATGGGGAGAGCAGACTTCAGGCTGCTCAGGGAACTAATAAGTAAAGTCCCCTGGGAAAATGGTTTTCCAGATCCTAGGATTCATCAGTGCTGGTCTCAAAGGAATACTAAGTAAGTTTCCTGACAACACTAAGTTGGGAGGAGCTGTCAACTCCCCTGAGGGCAGAAAGGTCCTGCAGAGAGACCTTGACAAATTAGAGATGGGCAATCGCCAGCTGTATGAAGTTTCACAAGTGCAAATGGAGACTCTGCACCTGGGATGGAACAACCCTGGCTATGTGTACAGACTGGGGAATGGGAGTCTGGAGAGCAGTGCTGCAGAAAGGGACCTGGGGGTCCTGATCGGTGGCAGCTTGAATATGAGTCAGCAGTGCCCTGGCAGCCAGGAGGGCCAACCATGTCCTGGGGGGGCATCAGGCAAAGCATCACCAGCCAGTCGAGGGAGGGGATTGTCCTGCTCTGCTCTGCAGTGGGGTGGCCTCACCTTGAATACTGTGTGCAGTTTTGGGCACCACAATATTAAAAAGACATTAAGCTATTAGAGAGTGTCCAAAGGAGGGGCACAAGGATGGTGAAGGATCTGGAGGGGAAGCTGTACGAGGAGTAGCTGAGGTCACTTGGTTTGTTCAGCCTGAGGAAGAGGAGACTGAGGGGAGACCTCACTGGGGTCTTCAAAATCCTTACGAGGGGAAGCAGAGGGACAGGCACTGATCTCTTCACTCTCATGATCAGTGGCAGGACTCATGGAAATAGTTGAGTCTGTGTATTGTTTAGTTTGGATATTGGGAAAAGGTTTTTCACCCAGAGGGTGGTTGGGCACTGGAACAGGCTCCCCAGGGAAGTGGTCACAGCACCAAGCCTGACAGAGTTCAAGAAGCATTTGGACAATGCTCTTGGGCACATGGTGTGACTCCTGGGGTGTCCTGTGCAGGGCCAAGAGTTGGACTTAATGATCCTGATGGATCCCTTACAACTCAATGTATTCTGATTCCTCATGTTGAGGTGAAACTTGTGGTTTAGTTTATGGCCATTGCTCCTTGTCCTGTCGCTGGGCACCACTGAAAAGAGCCTGGCACCATTCTCTTGGCACCTGCCTTTGAGATATTTATATGCAATGATGAGATCCCCTCTCAGTTTTCTCTAGACTGAACAGGCCCAGCTCCCACAGTCTCTCCTCCTGAGAGGGATGCTCCAGACACCTAATGATCTTTGTGGCCTCTACTGGGCCCTCTCCAGCAGCTCCTTGTCCTTTTTGTATGGAAGAGCCCAGAACTGGACACAGCACTCCTGATGTGGCCTCACTAGGGCCAAGTAGAGGGGGAGGATCAGCTCCCTTGACCTGCTGACCACATTCTTCCTGATGCACCCCAGGATACAATTGGCCCTCCTGGCCACAAGGGTACAGTGATGGCTCAAATATCAGCTCCAATGCCTTTGCTCACTGTCAGACTAGGAGGACTGTCATCCTTTGTCTAAAGAAAGCTTTCATGAATCCTCCTGCAGGTCTTTACAATAAACATTGAGTTCTGTCTGTGAAGATGGCACCAAGAAAAAAAAAGTCTTATTTGAAGTAATTCTTGTGAAATACTTCTAAAAATGTAACAAAAAAAAAGGTTTAGCTACAAACTCCTATTTTACCTTTAAAGTTTGTATAAAAGTAGTGTTTAAAATGCAGCAGAAATGAGATTATTTTGTAAACACTTTGTGAGTTGTGTTGATAAAAAATTATATATTGTAACAGTAAAATAAACTTTATTTTAGCCAATTTAAAATTGAGTTCTCATGTGTTTCTGTGCCCTGTTCCCTATGTCAGCCCCAAAATGATAGCAGATGATATTGAAACTGCTGGATATGCTCTGGGGTTGTTAGAATGACAACTCCAATTAGGAGGTTATATGGTGAAGGGTAATGCAATACCAGAATATCCACTGGAGTTAAGTGTGATATTGTTAGCTGGAGTAACATGAAATCTCTGGGGCTCTCCTTATAATGAGGATTTTGATGAGAAATAGATCAATAAAGTTGTGAAGATGATTTTTCAACATAAATACTGGAGAAATCATCCTATGTAGTTACAGGATCCCTTTTTCACCAATGAGAACATCTTTTTATGAAAGCCACCTCTCAAATATTTTATCTTTATGGTTGTTGCTGTCAAGTCCCCTGTGAACTGGATGTTTCTCTGCCACTTGAATCAAGGCATCTGGCTCAAATACTCCATGCTGGCCCCTCCTGCTTAATTATCACTCAGGGGCTTGTTTTCTATGTGTAACTCTATGCTTAAATAAAAGTTATCAGTAGAGTCACATTTTACATTGCAAATTCACCCCTACACCAGGCTTGAACTTCATGTCTACAGAAGGGCACATTTGCAGAGTTTAAACAGTTGTAGCTGATAGTTAATTCAAATTAATGTTATTCTAGGATGCAGCTGACTTGCACAGCCCACAAGAGGACTGTGCTGCCACTGGCACTGATGTCAATTTCTGTTTGTTTGTGTTTTTTTTTAATTTTAAAAAAAGAGCTTCTGGATATCTTCAAAGAGTTCTTCTGCAGGGTAAATCATATGCAAGCTGAAATGCAGAAGGCCAGCACTTCTTAGTTCATTCTTTTGGTGGCTTAATGAGGAGGAATTGAAGATCTGCTACCTGTGATGTTTTGGCATGAGTGCTTAGTGACCTCTTAATTCCCTTTTGTCCACTTCTCTCTCTCTATTTCTTCTTCACCTGCCTTCAGAAGCATGTTTTTAGCGTGGTTTTCCTGGCTGAACATTCTGCTTGCTTTCACCTGAGGGCACTGATGTGTTACCTGCTCTCCAGTGCTGCGGTGCCCCTGGGGCACATCCGCGTGCAGGGGGGGTGACCTTTAGCTATTGCCAAGGCTGACCGGGGGCTCTGTGGTTTCCTGCATAATCAGTCTGCTTGCTTTAAAATGTGCCAATCTCCTTTCAGCTCTCCTGCTGCTGTTTTATTTCTGTTGGTCTCCTTTTAACCTTGGCTTCCTTCCAGTCACTTTTGGTCCTGATGATAGAAGAGCTTCTGTAACAACAGGCCGTCTATGGGATGGCATCTCTGCCCTCATGGGAGATGAGCCAGGCTTGTGCTCTGGAAGTGAGGGAAAGTGTGCTTGGACTCATTCATTGTTTTACAGACACTGTTGTTTCTTCACTTGATGAAATAATTCTGCATTTATTTTCTTGTTACCTCTTAAGCAATATCATGGCTAACACAGTTCCTAATTAAATACTGTTTGTTAATGCAGCATAATTCTGAGTTCCTTTACAGATCTGCTAATTCCCAGGAAGAGGAGATGGTGAACCTTAGTTTTCAGGAGTTCTTATTAATCCAGAATCAAGCTACAACCAAGTCTTGAGCCTTGAGTCATACTGGTTACATTCTGCCTGTTTTCTTTTTGTTCAATACCAGTTTAGTGTAATTAGAAGATAAGGCTAGAGAGACTGGTGAAATGTGCAGCTGAGCCCTCTAAACAGGGGACCTGCAGTGGCCAGGGATAACTGTAATTTATGTCCTGAACACAACAATGCACCCAGCCTGGGTCTGTACTGCCACCAGACCGTGGTACACATGAGCCAGGAGAGCTCTTGACATTTATTTCCATAGATGTGAAACAATCAATGAGTTTTATTGAAAAACCATTCAAGCTTGTCTAATGCTAGTCTGTGTTGAATTTCTTTTCAGGGAATCACCAGGCCTTTATGTGCAATGATTTATGTTAATACATTTTTAACAGTCACTAACAAAATTACATCCCTGGCATTTCTGGTTTTACTTTTCTTTTGTGTGGAGTATCATTATTATGAAATTTGTGCTTCATGCAAATGAATGGAGGAGGCTGGGATTCACTCTAGCAGTTGAGAGAGAGACTGTTAAGAGACAGAGCAGATTTTGTGTATTACATTTCTTTCTTTTGAAGGGAGATTGTCACATTATCCCCATGAATCTTCCAATATGCTGCATTCTCAGTAGAGTGCACCAGGGCCTAGCCTGAATATTAAGGTACTTTAAAATGTACTTGTTCTGCTGTGATAGATATCTGCTGAGAGACGGAGAGAGCGTTGCAAATGGCACATTCTCTTCCCTTCTGCTTTTTGTTTGGTTTTGCTGCCTCCTGTTTTTTCTGTAACCCTAACTAGTTCAGCAGAAAGAGAAGCAAGGTGACGTAAGTTGAATTTTACCATGTCATCTTTAAGAGACCCTTGCTGAATGAGCCAACGAATGTTTACATTTGCTAAAGTTTCAGAAACTTGCCATAGATACAAGTTTAATCCTTGGACAGGTCGAATTTTATTGGTTTTGGGAGATAAATGGTAATCCCATCTGTGATGAAATGCAATATTGATTGGCTGCCCTGCAGCTGCAAAATTCTTACTGGAGCTGTATCACCATCATTACTGAGTTTGGATTTAGTGTAACAATAATGTATTTGTGTCAAAGCAGCAATGATCTGCAAAAAAAAATATTTTCCAAAGTGGAAAAGAGAACTTGTATTCTCTTAACTGTGTGGTAAAATAGTCTATTTGGAAATGAAATCTTAAAATGTCTGTTTTCGTCCAAGGGAAACATTAACAGTAGAAAAGTGGGTGGTGGAGGCTTGGCAAAGATTGAGAAAAATAGTGTGTTCCTGTGAGAACTGCCTTGGAGTGCTTTTTATGTGGTACTGGGAAGCACCAGGCATTCCAAGATCCCACACTGTGCTCAGAGCACGCTGCCTGCAGCAGGCTTTTCTATAGCTTGTGGTGACAGAAGTGGTTAAGTGATGGATCAGTGTCCGTTCTTGCATATACCTGGGACTGAAAGGTAAGAACTTGGGAGGTGAGAAGCCCAGCACCCTTCAAAAGGACCTGCAAGCTGTTTTCTTCCTCAGGGGAAACATTTTGTGGTTTGGTGACCATACAATAGTAGATTATTTGTGTGCCATGACATACAGAACAGTGGTGAGGGTAGTCATCTTCTGCGTGAGTGGGTCAGCTGAACATGGGGACACCTGAATTCACTTCTCAGCTCTGTCCTTGGCTTGCTGTATGACCTGGAGCTGAGTTCTTCTCAGCTCTGTCCATCTAGAGCAATAATTTCTATAAAGTGCTGCCCATACAAACTCCATGCTACTGCTGGGTGTATGAGAGCAGGCAATTAACAAACTACTATTGATATCCCTTCATGAATGCAGGTGTAACAGGTCTGGAAACCTGTTCTCAAAGCAACCACATGTGTTTCTTTTGAAGACTTTACTTGTTTAAAATTTTGCCAAGTGATGTATGTGGGGTGAATTTGTTGTGTTGCAGGTTGTTCCAGCTTCAAGTGGATTGATTTAGCTAGCTATGGAGAAATTCAACCAAAAGGATTCAGCTGGTTTTAAGGAACAAATAGTTGATGAACAACTTGGGGGAAAAAAAGTTTGTTTCATTCTGGGGTGGTTTGTTGTTTTATTTTCTGGTTTTTCCTTTTACAGCTTTGTCATTTGGTTGCAAATGAGCTCACAATGAGGCTTGCCTTGGTATCGAGGCATCCATAAGCTCTGCCCTCTGAGTGGGTTTTCTGGTGTCTAGTAAGGGAAGCTCAGCTTCTCAATCAGTGGTGGTGTTTCACCTGATAGCATGGTGCAGCTGATAGCATGAAGCTTGGAGAAGTTTGGTATCCTTGAGACTTTCAATGCTCTCAAATGTGGCTGAAGTTAAGCTGTTGAGCATAAAAAATGACTAGGGAAGGATTCAGGGGGTAAAGGGGACATCCAGTCACAGTATGATCCTATAATCCTTGCTTCCTTAAGAATCTAGCCTGAATATTTTGCCTTGCTGAAACATTCTGGCTTGCTTCAGGCATTCTTATTCGTACATCTCTCAAGCCTGATTGCTAGACTAGGAATTTGCTGATGACATGCCTTGGGTCTGGGGATTAGGTTTTGGGGTTTTTTTGCATTTCCATTGAAAATTTGCTTAAACTTAATGATGTTTTAAGCCTCAGTGCAAACTGCATTTTTCAGTCTGACCTCAGCTTTTCCAAATGGCATCTCCAAACAACTTGTTCTTGTAGACCATACCGGGGTGTGCATGTACATCATCTCAGTGAATGGCTTTGTGTCTGGCAGAGCTTTTACAAGGCAGCTCTGCACACAGGGGAGCCAAGAGCTTGTGCCTCCTGTGCTCTCTTGGATGCAGGCAGGCAGCAGCTGCCTCTTGTTTCAAAGCCAAAGTTGCTGAGCTGGCCCTGCTGCAGTAGGAATGGACTTTGGGCCTCTGTTGTTTCAGAACTGACGCTCACAGCACCTCAAGAGCTTTGGTCTCTTCAGCAAGTGAATGTGTACCTGGAGCTCTGGAATTGCACTTTGAAATTTTCAGGGTGGACATTTGATCAGTCAGATGCATCTGTTTGGCTACTGGCATTAGGTCACTCCCTTGGGGAAGAAGCCCTTCTCCTTAGGGAGATCTCTGTGCTAAGAGCTGGCAAGGAGAGAGTTGGCTGGATCCTGCCAAAGGTGCCGGAAGAGACTTTGCTCTGAATTGCCTATTGATTCCTTCTTGCTGAATGACGGGGTTCTTCCCCAGTCTGGAAAAGGAGATGTTTGCATTCCTGCCAAAGGAAAATGTTTGGGGTTTTTTTTTTTCCTTTGGCTGCTTTTTCTTTGGCTTGCTTTTTAATGAATTCCAGCCGCTGGATAAGCGTCATTAGCAAAACTTCTCCGTGTGCAGCTACTCTCTCTGTTTTTAAGGAGCTGTACATCTCAGCACAGCACAGAT